TAAATGTTATTTCCATAATATATATTAACTATTCACAGAAGCATAAATACAATTTAGCCACATACAGTAGGTTTAAGGAATCTAACTTGTTTGTTGTTGAATGTAAATTCTTAGAATGTTACAAGTATATAAAATACAGTAAGTACAATTGTACCAAGTATCTGTACTATACATGACATTTTCGTTTGCAGCCCGCAAAGAAGCCTTTGTGGTTTAAGGCTTTTTTTTTTTTTTAAGCCTGAAGTGTGACTAACAAAGGTTTTTGTTTCATACATGAAGTTTGGCATAAAAGGCAGTTTGCAGAAATTTTTGCAAATTATTATAAGAATATTTAAAGCACCAACATATTTAGCAGCATCTTAAAATTTTACATCCAGGATAGAACAGCAAACAAAAGTCTATCTGTTAACAAAAGGTTAATGAAGGCCCTTCTCACATATCTACAGTGTAGAAGATAGCAGCAGTTAGAAGCAACTGTGAGAGAGGAGAAAGAACAGGGACATTCTTACACCTATTATTCCGTTAAACGGACTCTATATGTTCCATACCACGTACTGCTCCTTGCGTAGATTTATCCACTGCCAGTCTACCACAACTAGACAGCCAAATGTTTACATCCATGATGTAGAGCTCAGTCTTAGAATTTAACAAAAAACTTGTTGTTTATGTTCTTTCCTTTTCAACTTACAGAAAGCATTGGCTTTTCCGGAAAGTATAGTGCATTGTAGTGGTTATGGTGCCTGAAGTGCATAACCCTCACCCCATCATAATGTAGATAAGCAAATTGTTTTCTACTGATTTGACTGGGGGCCTCTGCTCATTGCCCCTTCCCTTGAGAACTCCGAGCCAGAAAATTCTGCTAGGAGCTTCCATTAGCTCTCCTGAGCTAAAACTTCATTGGGCTCACTGGCTGAGAGTGTCAGCTGATCACTCTCAGCCAATGAAGGCTCTGCAAGAGGTTCCACCAAGCTTGGTAACTAGAGAGTGTTTACTCCCCACAGATCTCTGTGGCAAAACCCAAATCTAATCTTGACTCTAAACATTACAAGGATAGCACTGAAAGAAGTCTGGTCAACACATCATATACTTAGGTTCCTTAGAGATAAAATGTAGATGGCAGGAAATTAGATAAAAATAATATAAGCAGACCATTCAGTTAGGATAAATGTGATAACAGCTTGTTCAATAAACATAACTGTGGCAGACACTCAACTGTGTGAATGTAAATGTTTATAATAGTTTACAATACTATAGTTCTTATTGAAATGTCTAAATTTTTTTTTTTTTTGGAGCATACATATTTTCTATATCTATTTTCTCACCCCAAAACCAAGCCTTCGCTGGGTTGTTAATGTTATTTGTTTAAGAATAAACATTGCTGATACTCTTTTCCTAAAGTGTTTAGCAGTAGAACTGCCTTTTTCCAAAACTGTATATGTTCTGAAAGTGCCTGTCAAGTTTCAACAGGAACAATAAATCATAGGGCACAAGCTAATGAAAACCAGTGGGACGCAGTTAGAATTGCATGACACTGACAACACAACGTGATCGTAGTTCAGACGTACCACTGTATCATAATGGCAAAAAATGTCAAAGAGTTACCAGGCCAACTGTATTTAGTATTCCACTTTATATGTTTTAGATACATTGGAACAATATTGTTAAAATGTTTTTATAACCGTTTTTCACATTGTGTTTTATGGTTTGTAATGCCCTACTGAGTATTGTAAACTATATCCAACCCCTTTTTTATCTGATTAAACCTTTATAACTAACATAAAACTTACCTTAAATGCAGCTCTGGGATCCACCAGAGTTCTGGTCTGCCTAAGTCACATATGCCAGGGGTGGGGGAGAGTTGCAATTAGCTCAGGCACACAATTGCAGATATCTCTGGATGTTTTACAGACTCCTACCACCATAACAAATTCTAATAGTAGAAGTGGTTATGGGTGGTTGAAGTAACCATTTAAAGAGCAAGTATCACATTCCCAAATCCAACATCTTATAGTTCAGATATATGATATTGGATTTCTACAATCAGAGAAGAGATCTCAAATCTCTCTCCCTCCCCTACCAATACTTCGACCAACCCCACTCCCTCTGCTGTTCTATACTCATTTGCAACCGCTACTACAGATGAGGTTTCCGCTCTGCCCCTGTCCCCACGCCCCACCACCTGTTCCCTCGATCCTATTCCCTCATATCTCATCTGCACTCTGTCTCCTTCTCTTTCTCTCACTAAAATTAGCAATTTCTCTCTTTCCTCTGGCACATTTCCTTCAAATATGCAACTGTAACCTCGACTCTGAAAAAAAACTACTTTGACCCCAACTCCCCATCATCCACTACCGCCCTATCTCGCTACTGCCATTTGCCTCCAAGTTTCTTGAGAGAGTTGTGTATGCAAGATTGACAGACTTCCTCGAATCCAACTCTCTGCCTGACCTGCTTCAGTCTAGATTCTGTTGAAACGGCTGTGACCAAACTATGCAAAAGTTTTGTGGCCACTACTCAATCCTAATTCTCCTTGGTCTTTCTGCTGCCTTTGACACTGTTGATCATCAACAGCATCTTCTTATTCTCCGTAATCTCAGTTTACAAGATACTTCTCTCTCCTGGTGCTCCTCCTACCTCTCCCAGCACTCTTTCAGTGTAAGCATTTAAGAATGCTGGTCCATGCCATTGTTCCCTTTAACCTTAACTACTGCAATACCCTTGTTAGTGGTATTACGTGTTCCCAGCTTGCACCGTTGCAATCTATAATGAATGCAGCAGTGAGGCTCACACCTCTCCCCTCTGTCAGTCCCTACACAGGCTTCCTGTAAGATATAGGGCTCAATTTAGGATTCTGGTGCTTGCTTACAAGTCTCTACGTAATGCTGCTCCAACCTATCTATCCTCCCTAATGCACAAATATGTCTTGTCTAGGCCTCTGCTGAATACCTACGTCTATCCTCTGTCCGTATTCCCACCTCTGTTTGCTTTCAAGACTTCTTCAGGGCTTCACCTTTTATGTGGAACTCCATTCCCTTCTCCGTTAGACATTCACCGTCTCCATTCCTTCAAAATAATTGAGAATTCACGTCTTCAGGAAAGCATATCAAATAAACTGTAAACAGCTTTTCATCCCCATACCCTGACTCCTTTACTGAAACTGTCAAAAAATAAACTTCTAAGCCCTTATTGAATATTTTTCTAGCAATCTACTTTGATACCTTTACATTCACCTTTAGTGTCACTATAGCCCACTCCCTCTAGCATGCAAACTCATTGACCAGGGCCCTCAACCCCTTTGTTCCTGTGCGTCCAACTTGTCTGATTACAATTACGTGTCTGTTCGTCCACCTATTGTACAGCGCTACGGAACTTGCTTGCGCAATATAAGTAATAAAATAGTAATAATAATAATGTGTCTTCATCTTCCATATTATATTCAAGAGAACTGCAAATTTTTCATGACAGTTTTTCTCCATTAAATTGTTCCTTTAATTTGGAATGAGCAGGCTGGCTCTGTCGGGAGGTAGATGTGAGAGACGTTATGCCGATATTGCACATATATTACTACTATCAACTGCAAGAAACCTCAGGCAATAGGGAGTTTGGGTAAATAGGTTTAAAAAAGATAAATAAAAATAAAATGTTTAAATTACAGATACACTGATGGATTCTTACTATGATACATTTTCGAGCAAATTCAATGATTAGCAACACTTGGTTTGAAGCATATCCCTGTGTTATTTTAGTGAATCCAACCCAATTGATGGAACAGACCCATTCACTCTTGAGTAAAAAGTTGATGTATTATTTCCTTACTTAATCAAGAGAGTAATGAAAGTGTTTTCCATAATTTAAGCATATATTAATGAAGAATAGTTGGTCAAGCTATTTCTATTGTCACCTTTAATGGAAACCACCACTTTAACGGCACTTCAGAGCTAGTTCCAAGTCCCAATGCTCCTGCTACCCTGTTTCTGGGCCTTCCAGTGCTCCATGGTAGACTTGTGCAGAAATGTGTTGCTGTCTTTTCAAGAAAATTTATTTTAAATTCCTTATTTATTGAGTAAGACTCAACTTGTAAATCAAGGTCAACCGGTCCCGAGGTGGATTGAAACACATTTGATTAAGATGACAAATTTTTTTTTTACCAAGTCAGGTTCCTAATCATTTTACTTCCAACCTAGCCTTTACTGCTCCTGGTTCCAACTCATTTCCAACCTGGTTCTTAGTTCCTATTCCTCCCCAACCTAGCCTTCCACCGTTCTTGGTTCTTTCACTTCTGGTTCCTACTCATTATTTCCAACCTGGTCTTTCACGGATTTTGGTTACCACTCATAAGTTTCAGCTTGCCCTTTTTGTGATCCTGGTTCTTTTTCACTTGCTATTGCTTCAGCTATCCAGCCTGTGCAACAATCCCTTGTTTCTTTCTGTTCATCTCCGCATTCTTCACAGCCTGTGAGTAGATTACAAAGTGTTGAGGTTTCTTACAGCTCATCGTGCTGAGACACATGGCTTGTGATGAACAGCTCTACTAACTGATTTAAGGAATCGTGTGTATATACTAGGCATATCTGCTCAGTTGGGCTAAGTCCGCTAATCTGTTTAAATCATCTTTGCTTGACTTCATCTAGGGCCAGCTCTGGTTTTAGCCATCTATGACTGGTTCCATTACCACCTCATTCTGTCCACTTAGAGCTTTGCATACAGCTGGATTTCACCTCTCATCCACAATAGCGCTCTAAACCAAACTGATCAGTAATGATAGGGCTCATACAGGCTAGATAATCTTTCCAAAAGTATTCATTTATATTAATTTATAATACTTATCAATTGAAGTGAGGCCCTCTGCTGATGGACTACATCACTCTCATAATATATTTTAACCAGTCAACCTAATCTAATTTGTTTTGATAGTAACAGGAAGTAAGACAGTGCATGAATAATGACATAGGTTGTAAAAAGGCAAAAGAGTAAATGGCAATGTGTACAGAAGTAGAATAGTCACTAATGATCACAATGCATTTAATTAACATTGCTTGCAATATAAGACTATATCATTACAAATTTATAAAAGATAAAATTAGGTTCACAAAAGGCTCATACATAATAGGTTCACATTAAGTACACACTAAGCATCATAAATGCAACAGCTCAATGTAGTGGTTATGTTTCTATAGTCTCTCATAACTTCACACGAATGCTGGTCAAACGATTACAAGTGCTTTCTTAAAATCTAAGGGTTCACTCCAACACCCAAAGTCCATCCCCTTTCTTGGTCATGTTGATAATGTAGAAATTACATGTCTACATAATGTCGATTCCATCAAACCTGGACAGCGTTGAGATAACTCTAAATTGAGAATTCTGAACTAACCCGTCTCCAACCATTTACCACCAGGAAGGCTGAATGAAAACTACATTGATAAGTCAACTCTGCATTATCAATGTGGTTGAAAAAGGATGGTCTCCTGGTCCTTGGAAAAGCACCCTCCTTGCCCCCCCCCCTTTTTTTTGTTTCTTGCCAAACTGCTCTTAAAATGGCAGAGAGAAAAAGGTTGCCCAACACGGCCAACAGTATGGCCACTACACTGAGCTGTAGCAGTTACATTGCTTAGAGTGCCCCTTCAACATTTAGGCTATGCTGTATTTATCTGAAAATATATATTTAAATATCAGTCATCTAGCCAAGAACAGATTTAAATACATATTGTGGTAATATGGCATCTTACTGTGCACATTGTGTTCTAAAAGGGTAACTCCATATAAAAAAAGTTTCAGACCAACGTATTATCACCCCAATAAAGGCATGACAGATTTAAGAGAAATACTAATTCCCCAAAGGATTATGTAATTGTGTCAGGTGAGAGTGGACTGCGACAGGCTTCATAAGCGAAGATTTAAAATCAAAAGTGTGTGAAATAAAGATTTTAGGCAGATTGTTATTACATTTGCTCGTTAAATGGAACTGTGAAAGCAGTATGGGCAACATGTATTCTCAAGAGAAAGATGTAGACATTGTTGTGTTCTTTACTTCATTTAGTCTACAGGGATTTCCAGACATTTAAAGTACTCTCACCTGAGTGGTTATTTCATTGTGCTAGTCTTTGGTTGCGTTTTCAAATCAATTATTAAATGAAGCAGAATTACAAGTGTTTGCTAAAGTGTAGTTTGTGACTGTCTCACTTAATGCTTAACAAACAAAACATTAATCATAGAATTTCTCTCTATTTTTTTATATTTAGGACATACACAGTAAGAATAAGACCTTGTGTTGGATGGTTCCTTAAGGACAACTGCCATCAAATTGTTACTTACTTTTTAAAGTTTATTATATTTAATTAAACCTATTGGCTTTTTAAAAACATTTTTATTTAAATGATGTAAATATCACTTTTTAACTGGCAGCCATGTTGGGTCACTGCTGCTCAACAAACTTGCCTGTTGCCGTGTTTGTTCTAAGCAAAATTGCAGAATTAGACAAGTTAGGTTAAGCCGCAGTAGGTCAGATAACCGTAGAGTCTGACCCAGTGGAATTTTTTTTTCTCCCCCCGCAAAAAAATAAAATAAAATAAACATAATTTAAAATAAATAAAATATATATCAAGTTTCATTAAATGTAATAAATGTTTAAATAACCAATCAATTTTCACTTTTAAAACGTGTATGTGTGTTTTTATCTAGATCTTGACCGATAGTTCATATAATGCTATACTTTGTATGTTATGAACTGGGTGTGGTAGAGGTTACTGTGAAGAATATAGCACAATACTAAATAGTTTGCAATTATAGATAACATTTGTATCTCGTAAAACTTATTTTTTTATTGGACTCACAGATTTTTTTTTTTTTAATGACAATGACACATAGAATTCAATAGGAAGGAAAGGGAGTTTTTCCCAAAAGCTTGACATTAAAAGATTCTGTTAGCCCAATAAAAAAAAAGTATTGCAAGATATGAATTTTATCTTTTTTTTTTTTTTTACATCTGCATCACTGGACTAATATGGCTAGTTTGCAATTAGAAAGAATATAATGAAAGTGACAACAAAAAAAGTAAATATGTACTTTTATACCATCACATTTTTTTTCTAACTTCCTTTATGGGCTAAATTTTATAGCTTATATTTTAATTCCCTGGAGTTCACACTTTAATAAATCTAACAACCGAGTAGCAAATCAAAAGAACACTCCGGTTAAAAAAAAGAAGCATTTCTTCATTAAAACCAATAAATTTAAATAAACCGTAAAGAAATGATATCTTACAGATCTTAAATAAAAACAGAAGAAATTAGTTTTAATAACCTTACAGCCAGTGTGAAGAAAGGAATATTTAACAAAAACTGTTTACATAACATTTTAAATTTAAAGATGCAGTTTGTACAGAAGGTCATTATTAAACAATACTGTAAAATTACAGGTCGTGTGTATTATTTTTTTAAAGAACGTTAGGCCACCAAAATACACACAGTTTAGAGCGGTCTAATCATACATTATTACATGTAACAACCATGAATTCCATATATATATATATATAAAAAAAAATCCTAAGCAGGTAGCCCAAGTACCCTCTCCAGCCTTGTTATTTTTAAATCTTCTAGAATAACCGAAATATTAATATAGGTTAAATGTCACAGATGTGGGCAAGGTAATGTAGTCTAAAATCGGCCCATATGGTCGGTGTGATTTGCGTGCTATGCCAGTTCTTGGTGTGTGTCATCGTATTCCGTGATATACATTTTCAGTTCTTCAATACATCTCTCTCCGATTTCACTTAAATTTTGTTTCAGGGCGTATTGAACCTGCTTTTCAAGTGATGGATCTTTGTCGATGAGCATCTTCACGACCATCCCAAAAGTCTCACAATCCTGCCTATATACCTGCAAGAAAACAAGAGGTTACGTCAGAAGGGCTGTGCGCACATAGGAGAAGAAAAAATAAATAAATTAAAAAAAACCTACTAAAATCAAACAGGTTGTGTGATTCCAAAAGTTTAGGATAACATTTAAGATAAAAAAAAAGTCACATGCTGTCAAAGAAAAAAATGTAACATGTTAAATATAAACACAATGCATTGCTTAAAATTTATAGTGTATAGGCGTACTTCAACCACAAAAAAAATAAAATAAAATATATATATATATATATATATATATAATTAAGTTCCCCAGAATACTATTTGATTTTCAAATTTAGGCCAAAACATAACCAACTTAGTGAATTTTTCACTTTGACTATTTTGACCTTAAATTTGGAATTCAATTTATTTGCACTTTAGTCAATGACTGATTGTGTGCAATTCAGGGCCAATAAGCAGATATACGCCTTTAATAAAACAGGCTCTAATTATTATGCTTCATTAGCATGGGGGAGGGGGGCTTCGTTCCTTTGCCAATATATATGAAGATGCAGCCATCTCAACTACCTATTGTTCCTGTTACATTTTGTTATTGTCTCATTTGGTAAATTCTCCTCTTATTGTAAAGCGCGGCGGAATAAGCTGGCGCTATACAAATACCAATAATAATTCATCCTTTATAGTCTGGTGAACTTTTAGCTTTTAAAGGGATAACTATATAAACACAAATGATAATGTGTAAACGCTTTTCGTCAACCACTTTTCCCTTGACCCTGCTGCTCTCACTAGTTTTGTGCCCATAAAATCAGATATTATGACCCATTAATGCTTCGGCAACAACTAAAGGAACACACACACACTTTTTTTTTTTTAACCCAAATTTAAAATTTATTGCAGATATATTTTGTGCTATGAGAAAATGCCATAATCCAGAACGCACAATAAAATACTGCTAGTTCTTGGAAAACACACAAGGCAAGATGCCATTTGGGCTTTTAATTAGACCTCTCATGTAAGGTTATGTAAAACCTAATCACCATTTCAAGGAACACTACAATGCCAGGAAAACAAACTTGTTTTAATGGCACTATAGGGTTATTAGGTTCCCCCCCTCAGAGCCCGCCTTCCCCTGGAATGAAGGGGTTAAAACCCTGTCAGCCATTTACCTTAATCTAGCACCGGGCTCCCTCGGCGCTGGTGACCTGTAACCCCCCTGCCAACATCAGTTTGGAATGCGCATGCGCGGCCCGAGCCTTACGCGCATTCAAACCGCCCATAGGAAAGCATTACTCAATGCTTTCCTATGGATGTCCAGCGTGCGTTCAATGCGGGAGGGAGAGAGCCACTAGAGGCTGGATTAACCCAAAATGTAAACATAGCAGTTTGTTTTCAACTGCAGGGTTAAAACTAGGGGGACATGGCACCCAGACCACTTCATTGAGCTGAAGTGGTCTGGGTGCCTCTAGTGGTCCTTTAAATGATAGCTACAACAATACGTGTTCAGACAGTCGACATGAAGCAAAGCACTCGATACTTTTAAAATTAGAGTAGATTACAAATTTTTTGCATTTGTTCTGGTGAGTAGAATCATTGCCTTCAGCTTTTTGAAGTAAACACTGTCTTTTCAGAGAAAATGCAGTGTTTACATTACAACAGTGATAACTCAACTAGCCACTCCTCAAATGGCTACTAGAGGTGCTTCATAGGGCAGTGCTGCACAGTGTGACTGACATTCAGTGTCCCCACTCACTGCATGGATACACTGAACTTTTCTCATAGAGATTCATTGATTTAATGCATCTCTATGAGATGCTGATTGGCCAGGGCTGTGTTTGACTTGTGCTGCCTCTGCCCCTGATCTACCTAATTGACAGTCTCCTCCAATCCTATGGCAAAGCATTGTGATTGGCTCAGAGAATCACTTCTGATTATGTCAGCCAAGCAGGCAGATCTTGGGCAGAGCCAATAGCAGCAGACTTGAATACAAGTAAGCTTTTACCATATTTAGTGGGGGTTAACCAAAGGGTGGTTTTGACATTGTAGGGTCAGGAATACAGGTTTGAGGAAGTATCTTTTTTTTTAAATTGCATTTTGAAAACAGTTTTCCTAGATGTGTGTTAAAGTGACATGAAGAGCACCATAATCACTACAGATTATTATAGTGGTATTGTGCAAATAATTTTTGTGCAGGGTCTCCCCTATTTCCGTCAAACTGTTATAGTGATACTGTCTCCTCCCTCTCTAAAATGATTTCATAAGAGATACAATTTTTATGATATACTTGCGTTGTGTTGAAATTTCTGCACAATACATCTTAATTTTCATTTACAATTCGTGGCTAGGGGTGTACATCGGGGGAAGATACCACAAGGATGACACCAACATGTTTCGTGTCTGACGTGCACTTCATCAGAGAGGTCTCTAATGGAGTGCCCACAAGTGACTAAACAAAAAGTCATTGGGGTGGTGGTCTTTCCCCTGCAGCACGCCCCCACCCATCCCCTGTTGTACTTGTTGTGATCTGAAAAACTATACACGCCAAGATATCCACGTAATCCCTGAAACACAAAACATCTAACCTGCTCGTACATATTACGGTGATAAATGTTGACCCGTTCTAGAGATTGATAGGTTTTCTATCCTGTTTCACATGTTACATTTACGAAACGATGATAATAATGACTATTACCCGGACAATATATTATCGACATTAAGCGTATTCAGAAGCACGAACCTTCATACAAGAAACCAGCCATCCATTGAAAACTATTGTGTGGGTTACAAAAACACACCAATAGTCAAAAGCTCTATTAGTATCAAGTTAAGCAATTATGAGTTTTCCACTGAATAGGTAATTAAATTAGCTGGCCAAAATGTATTCATTTGTTAATGGGAACAATTACCAATGCTACTGCAGAATTAACCTAAAACCTTTAAATACAATAAGTGTCTCTTTATCCTTACAGGAAATCCCATCACATTATGAAGATGAGTATTTGAAATGGAGATTATACTGAATTGCAGGATGAATGATCTGACCAGGACTTGCTCCACACAATAGCAATAATAAAAGTTCAAAAAGTAAAAGTTTTTCCAGACCATTACCAGGACAATTCCTAGTGATGTAACAGATTTTTAACTTGGGTATACTAAGTAATATAAATACTACAATTTGCTGCAGTAGTTATGTTGCCTAAAGTGCCCCATTGCCAACTTTGTGGAGTCAATGGATTACTTCACTTTGGCTGCTCTGATAATGTGTAATTACTACTACGGTATTCACTATGCCAATTTCATCCAACCTAGATGACGAGGACTGGCAGAGAGTACTGTGAGCAGGTTAGCCCTGGTTTATTCCATATTCTCGCGCTGGTATAAGAATCAATATATTATCCTTAAATCCTACATTTATTTTAAACGGTTTAACAATGCATTCCTATGTTGCAAATTGTCTTCCAATAAAGAAATTTACCACTTAAAAACAAAAGAAATGATATATTACACTTTAAAGCCATGATTTATTTTGTGTGTTAAAAAATGTATGTGTATGTCTAAGCAGAACGGATCATTCTGATAATGAGTGATGATGATGATGGCCTAACTTTAGGCCAACGGCTGGTGGATGTAAATGCAGTCTTACAGCAGGGGCATTCAGATGCAGACTTTTCTTTGTTTTTGCTTAACAGTTTAGGAATGTGTATTTTATAGTTTCAGACCGGCATCCTGAAACTAGAAAAAGCAGTCTTAAAAAAAGAGCTGACTTTGTCCAACGCTATTCAGTATTAGGTCAGCATGACATCACAGCAGGAAATTTGCTTGTGCAAAGTGCACAGATGTCAAGCCATACTGTTACTACAAGTAGCCAAGAATGTGCATCAATTAAAGTAGCCTTGTCACCACCCCCTCCCTTCCACCGCTTCAGGTTTTAAAAGATTACACAGCCACGAATTCTTTTAAACAGGGCTTTATTTAATCCAATAAGGTCATTGTGTACGGTATCACTGATCACAAAGTGGTTTTGTAATTATGCCCATGACTTCAGTATTGCATTGACATCAAACTAAAGACAACAAGCAGGGGTGGTGTCCATGTGCGTGACGTTTTATTGTTTTGGGCAACACAAGAATCTAACCAATTTTGTCAGCCAGCAGTATGCCCCAGTGGCTAGGCATGGTAAACCTGCTGATAGATCGGGGTTTGGGTGAAAAAATAAATTGTAACCTGTGAGTTTCTGCATGGTCATTCTATACGTGTGATTACATAATGTAAAGTGTCACTAATTACGTTTATGTTGAGGAGAGTAACCGGCACCCCCACTCAGTTTTGAGATTGGTTTATATACTGCAGCAATTTGAAAAGAAAATTCCTGCAGCCCAGTGCAATTGTAATAAACGACTTTGCCACTCACTGGGCACAATCCCGTTTACTGGATGAATGGTGAACCAGGCTGTGGATCAACTAATAGCAGCCCTGTATGGCTGCTGTCTGTTTATCGATTCTTGGTTTTATGAAGTTTAAAGAATACAGTCAGAATTCATAAACCAGAATGAGAGGCTCCTGATTATTGAAGTGTCTAACACCCTCCTGAAGGTGAAAGAAAACTTTGAAGGAAAGTATATTTTTAATTTCAGTTAGTAAAAGCATTAACTATATAATAATTGAGTATAGCATTGCAGCCCTGGACGTCTGAATGATACAAGCACTCCCATTAAGAAGTTTGAAAACTCTAATAAATACAATTGAAGGACAATTAATCTAAAACTTTAGGAAAGTTGCAGTGTATTTTCACGTAGCTAAGAAAATGCTCACAAAAAACATTTGAGATCAGTATGTACGTGGTAAAAATGATACGTGCATGTAGATTAAAGAAAAATACAAATCGTTAAAACTGAACACATTATACCGTGATCACCTGCTCTTTAAGACATGCAGAAAGTGTTCTAATGCCATGTTTTGGAACACAACTGAACTCTCTGCAAGTTTAATACAGGAAATACTAAGTTTTACTAAGTCATCAAAAACCATCTTGGACAGGATATCCCATAGGGAGGATCCACTTCCATATTTACTCCTAATTAAGTATGGGACAAGAGGCCAAGCGGATAACATTAATCAACATGTTTTTCACATTACATAACTACATACCACTGTATGTGAAATAAACCAATATATCATAACCATTGTCCCTTAAACTCGTCACCGTGGAATGCATACACAATACCCTGCATAACACTTCAAGATACAGAAGAGAAGCCGTTCATTTTGCTCGGTAACATTTAGATACAGAAGATAAAGAGTTAATAGTGCCTGGTTACATTTTAAACAGCACAGAAACCAGCAGGTTGTATGGAATCTCTCACACAAGGAGGGCCTTGCATTCCCAAAATATCCCAACAATGCCATAAGAAGTATGTTAGGTGGTTAGCTCAACAATTTTCCTCCCACAAAAGATCAAGCCTAAAAAGAGATACAGTTCAATGTGTTGATATGCATTGACTTCTACCAAGCAGGTATAGAAACGTTTGGTTTAAAAGTTAAAAAGTCCCCTGTAATTAAAAAGATTATGGTACTCTTGTAATGACTCCCTGCAGGTCACAGATATATTCCTGAGGTCAGCACAGATAAACTGCAGAGAAGCAAAGTGAACAGTTGGCATGCAGTATTGGATTAAAACCCAGCAGGGTGCTAATCAGATTGGCAATTTGGGTCTCCCCTCTGGATGAGTGGCAGAGCTGCATCACCCACAAGTAATTATCTCTATATGTCATGCAGCTTGTATGTGATGATCATGTGATTGCCAGCCATCCATCTGGAATGTGGCAAGCATAGACAGACACGGCTTGACATATATTGGGCTTATGTACAAAAATGGTCTCTTTCTATCGGCACATAAATATTCTTTACTGTGCCTCTTCCTTCATTTTAATTTCCCATTCCATTCTTTTGTTCACAAATCTTTTTTTCCCCTCAAGCCCTGAGGAAAGTCTCCACTTGAGACTAAAACGTTGATGTAACGGATTACATGCTTAAGGAATAAATAAAGCAGTTGAGAGTTTATTGTAAAGAAATACATAGATATTCCTTTAACCTATTCATGTTAGAAACTCATTCATTTTTTACAATTCCATGAGCATTCCAACACATTCATTCAGTACAGAATTTACTGCCCTTGATTCTTTTAGCTAGGATTTCAGAATTATTTACTTGCCATTTTCTGTATCGGTATGCAAAGACATAACATTAACACGTCATTAACAGGCCAGCAGAGAATTAGGCAAGGTATTAAGGAGTTAGCGTAAAAGAATAAGTGTTAAAGTTTCACAAGGTGCAGGATGACACTTATAAGAAAAGACAGCATCACTTTTTGGAAAGAGATTGTAAGGGCACAGGAAGGCTACTGCATGTAACACTTACATGGTATGTGTGGTAACTTTGTAATGTAAACAAAGCCAACACTGAGTCAACAGCACTCTGCAGAAGCCTAAAGCATCACCTATTTGCCTTAATACAATGAAACTAAATTGCTATGCGGTGATATACTGCTGAAACTGCTCTTAACAGGGTAATTCAAAACTAACACTTGTGCTTTTTTGCTGGACTGACACTAAGCCACACCCAGATTAATTAAAACCCCAAATCTTCCCAGCAATATTTAATGAACCCATGCAAATCAATAATACAATTTTTTCATACTCTATATTCTAGTGAGAACTCTACAAGATGTAAGACGGCTCAATGATCTAAGACCTTTCGAAGAAACGGTTTACCCTCTAAAGGTAAGACAATGCCCAATGACTCCAGCCTCGATATCAGCTTCACAGAGATGAAGTTGGTATGGGGTCTGAAGTAAAGTCGGAGAGTTCCTTTGAGTTCTACACTTTTTCACCATCCATGTAATCACCATCTATCTATATGAGGAAATACTAAGTACTAAGACACAAGCAACTGGAATACATAGATTTCATAGACCGAAAAGGGACAGTGCAGCTTTACGATTGTGCACAGAACAAAAAACTACAGCTACCAAAACTGCCAAATTATCACCAAAAAGGCATTAGAGAGCTTTTGACTGAGCAGGGATTTCTGTAATCTGTGCAGGTAAAACTACCAGAAGTGATACATGGGCAGAGGAACACGTGTCCCATAACCTATGCAAGGAATACGAGTAGGAATTAGAAGTTGCACCTGCAAAAGAAATGGTAACTGTAGCAAGAGTGTTTGTACTTGGGCTAATACATTTGTTTTACGACAAATTGTTGTGGATGAGTTAAATTACAGAAAATAATCCCATAACAGAAACAAAGGGGACAGAATCTGATGTTAAAGAAAGAAAATTCAAGGTGATGTGCAATTTGCATAGGCTTTTCACTATTTCTCACCTAGGTCACTTCTAATTTATAGAACACAGCTGGAGGCACAGGAAACACACCACCAAGAAAGTGTCACTTCTGTAATTCCAAAAACTCTTATCAGTGCCCATATCTAATGAGTGGTGCTTGGAGGCAGGTTGCTGCAGGTGAAACAAAGGCACCTTACAATTAACATTTTTAACAGACCATTAGATTTTGAAGCACTAGCAAGACATTGAGAGCACTTGTTACCCTCATTAAGGAGGCACAGAGACTCCAATGATGTGTTGGAGGTTAAGAGGAAATTGTCTCAAGCACCCTCAATTTAAAGTTACACTCCAGGCACTTGGACACTTTTCATGCATATTAAAGCTTATTTAGCAGACATGTTAGGACTTGTTGAAAATAAAAGTCTAGTAGAATTTAATTTCTCCATCATTTTTTTTCCTTACGGAAAGTGATGCTAAAGGTAGGACCAATAATTATGCCCAGTATTACTGGGAGTGACTGGGTCGGTGCATGCAGCATAATTCTGTAGCAGGCTTGGATATCACGCAATTCCCATATTTTTCTACAGGCGATTAAAGACTGGTGTAAAGGACACACTGTCATGCTACATTTTATGCTCTTTTTAAATAGAATCCAAATAAATAGTTTTGGCAAAGCATCTATTTAAAAAAATAAATTAAAAAAATATAGGATTTACTTCCACCTGTCAGCCATTAATTCGGCATATAGACTTCCAAAATTGGTCCTTCTGCTCGCCACACATTGCATCCACAGCATGTACACGCTGTGCTTCATGCTGCCAACACTAGACATGACGTCACTCCATTCAGACACCGGCATGCTGGTAAAGAATTGACGTCAATTGCCTTGTTTAGGAAAGCATTCACAAGCAGGGCAAATCACTGAGGAGACAGGGCAGACTGGAGGTGGGTGCAACAGGAAGAGTAACACCCATGATGCCGAGTCCAAAGTAAAGGTCCATAGGCATCACAGTGAGGTGGAATCAATAGTGAAGTTTACTGGATCAATGAACAAAAAACTAAGTTTCGGCCTCATGGCTTGACGCCTAAACTTTCTATTTTGCTCATCAGATCCTTCTCATGGTACTCCATTTTTACAGGCAACAGCTAACATATTGATCTGTGTACATCACCACCATTAATCTCGGCTATCCATTAAGCTCAGGCAATGGTGACTTACTGTGGTGCCTATGGACATTTACTTTGGACTGAACTTCATTGGTGTGACTCTTCCTGTTGCACCCACCTCCGGTCTGCCTGGTCTCACATGAGATTGTTAAAGAAAAATGCTTAGAAGAGTATATTTTACATTTTTGTCCCTATATAAATTGAATATACTACTTAGTTTTCTGTATAATGCATTAAATGTAAGTGGTTATTTCAGGCATGGAGCACATGCACTCCTTTCCTACCTCATCTCACATTACCATTAAATTCACCTTTATTCTTTGGTTCTCTTCTTCTACTCATCGCTTTATTCTAAAATTTTCACAATGTACTTTTTTATTTGACCTATGTTGCACTTTGACTGTTACTTCCTGGAACATATGCAAAACATAAAAGAACTTTAACGTTCCTTCCATGGATATTAGAATTATTTTGATAAGACAATCTAGTGGGTAAGATAGTTCAGTTGGTCAATGGGCCAACTTACTGTAATGTACATTAAGATCCCCACAAGGGGTGAAACTCACTAAGCACATGATTATCATCATGTAGGTCATATGTCTATAAGGTCTTCTGCCTGGCTTCTTTACTAATCAGATTCCTATATTCACAAGGGAACATGAATCATGCTACATTATTTTGTGGTTTCTTGAGTCATGTTATGGCATTTTTTTTTGTCTTATTGCTCAAATCAGCTATTTGCTAGTAACAGATTGTGGACATCGCCTACAGGCTTCTTTCTTGTTTTGAACCTATTAAAAAGAAACTTGTTTTTTTCCCCTAAATAAACCCACAAAGATCAACACCAAAGGAATGTTTAATAACTATGAGCAGATGGCAGTAAGGCAAATACAGTGAACATAAATAAAAGTTTCAAGCTACATAAACGTCTTTTCATGTCCTCCTGCAAAGATCTGAGAATTTGGGAACAAATAATGTCATGGATTTAGAATTTAAGATCCGCAATGCAAAAAAAAAAAAAAAAAAGTATATATATGATCCAGTACCTCACCTTATGCAACACTATTTATAACCTTTCAAACACACAGAATTCTGTGCTTCTTTGGAAGCGAACTACTAAATGCAGATACACAGCATTTCTCTTGTTTAAATATGTCCTCTCATGTGGGTGCTGAGCATGCATATATCGGACCAATTTATTCCCAGAAGGAAATACTTTCCATGTACAGTCTTCCAATTTGTTGGGAAGGAATGAGTTTTGGCTAAAAGTTCTCATCCACGTCTAGGTTGCTGCAGATCAGGTATAACAAAACATGCCCCATTTAAACTCACATAACTGAATATTTGATAGATATTTGAAAATAATAAAAAAAAAAAAATGCAAATTGCTTTAGGTAGCTTTTGGACAACAGATTTATCAAGCTTTAGAGCAAGCTGGACTATACTTCCAACAACAATGTAAACACAGAACTATGTAATGTTAAAATCTATTGGGTTCTTTTATTTACATAATAGCCAATGGCTAAATAATTCTACCTTAACAAACCAACCATAAAAGACCGTGCTGTAGACTAGAATGTCAGGGCGGCACAGAGCAGCAAACACCAGATAAGTAGGGCATTCTATAATGGCACAATCACAATGCCGGGAAGTGCACAAAAAGTAATAGAGACTGTCAAGAAGAGACCTCAACATGTAGGAACCCTATAATAATAATACACAATAAAGAAAACCCTCAGTCCAATCTCTGCGACCAAATGACCTTTTATTTAGCCATAAGACAGACCTGGAAATGTTTTAATCTAAAAGTATTTGTCAAAACCTTAGGGGGAAAGATTCCCAGGACAGTTCTATGCCTAAATAAAGGCCACTTGGTCACTTAGATTGGACAGAGGAGTATTTTTTTCCTTCTGCATTATGAATATCTCAGAAAGGTATAGATCACTTAAGGTCAGGTTGTGATGATGGCATGAGATATTCATTACGAGCCCAGGAATTTGCTGGAAATAACTGGCAAAAATACTTGGAAATTTTTATAATATTGCCATGACAATAGAAATTTAATCCGGTTACTAAGTTATTCATTAGGTTATATTACAAATGTTGATTACAAATTCATTTGCCAGGCATAGCAGCTACAACAAAAAAGTCACCTGTCTATTCGCACAAAAACCAAACGAGTGGAAGGTTAAAAACAAATGGTGAGGCCTGCAATATACACGGTCCTTGTAAAAACAATACAACCGCCTGAAAATTAATGAAATGAAAAGGTCATTCTGACATACAGACTGAAGGAGCGTTATCTCCTGTGTTAAGGGGGCAACAAGTCAAGGAAGACGTTTCATGACAAACAGTGACTTTACAAGGTCATGGCTATCAAGGTCATGGTATCTATCCAAACAATTCAGTCGGTGTTTTTAAGCACATACTTTAGAACTGTTAAAGATCATAATGGAAAGAAAAGTGGATAAAATACACTCATTAAGGGAAAGTTTTTAAACAGATGTCTCTCTGTGACATAAAAATTAGATGGTTAGCAAACCGTCCAAAAACATGCAGAATATGGAGTTCGTGGAAAGGCTGAGAAACACAAAATGCTCTTAAGTTTTTACGACAAATGTACAGAATAGAGAAGAAAGGATGGCCTGTAATCGAGTAACCCATTAAGAGTTACACAAAGCCCCATTGTGGTGTGTATGCATTGTTCTAAGGTTCCTTTATAGCAGCAATATATCTTTATTATTTAGAAATACTTTAATTAAAAAAAAAAAAAAAAAATTGTTAAAGGAATTTACAGTTGAAAGGTTCACCGTATCCCCTTAATATAAATGTGCTAATGTAGGTACCGCAATTTAACTCTAGCTACACAACTTCACCACTCAATAAGATGTCATCGCGTGGGAAAAGCCAAGTTGCCTGAAACAACTTTCATCAAATTCTCGTTTTTCAAAGTTCATTACATTTATTGAAAAAGTAACTATATTTTTAAAAATAAAGTATTGATTTCATTATTGTTAACCCCTTAAGGACACGACATGTGTGACATGCCATGATTCCCTTTTATTCCAGAAGTTTGGTCATTAAGGGGTTAAAGAAAACTATTTTTGTGGGTGGAATTCTACAGTTATCTGACCCAACATGGCTGCTCAACCTAACAAGCCAGCGGCTGTGATTGCCGTGTGTGAAACTGCAGCAGTTGGTCAGATAACAGAGTTTGACCCAACATGGCTGCTCACACAGATCAAGTTTAAATTTTCTCACTCCCCCCCCCACCCCCAAAAAAAACCAACCAAAAAAAAAAAAAAACCTCGATGTACATCATTTTCAAAAGTATCATTAAGTTTCACTAAATAATGTAATTTCTAAAAAATGAGAAGTGAAAATTTAATGATTGTTGTCCTTTAAAGTGACACTCCAAGCAAAAAAAAAAATAAACTAATTACTATAGCCAATTGTAGATGCTAGGAGAATACCAGTTTTCAAACAGTTCGACTCGCACTGTACATCTTTAGACGTATTACTTCATTCAGCCTCTTTCCACCTTAATCACAACAATAAGCTGCAGTAATTGTGTCTGGGTGTCCCTTCATATCAAGGTATGAAACCAAAAAAAAAAAAAAAGGCATTTGGAGGTATTTAACTTCAATGAATTTCATGCCAAAATGTCCTATCTGGTTGCTCAAATGTTTCAAATCTACTGTTGTATGTGAGATGTCGAATAAGTGTAACAAGAGTGTATAATTGAAAAGATAATGTGTAGCATGATCTATGCATTAATCAAAGCACTGACTCATACTGTGATGTCATGCAATAACATGAGACATAGAAATATAAGTATAAAACATAAACAAAGCAAATAAAAATAGACAAGGATGTCAAAACATATAAAATGAATAAATCAAGCACAGATTTCTTGCCATTAGGTTAATTTATTAAAAAAATAAATTAATAAATCTGTTTAAAATAGCTTTACATAAAACCTTCTACATCCTAAAATGGCAGGACTACAAGTATCGTAAACTCAAGAAAAAGATACTACTCATGTCTTACACTTTGGTAACTGCATAACCAAAAAGCTGCATTTACTACACATTCATGGTGTGTGTGTGTGTGCGCACTCAGTCAACTCCCCTACTTATGCCATCTCACAACTGTACAACTACATGACTTCTCCCCAACAACACACAACTTCCCTATTTTGTAAAATACTAGGAGAGATGCCTGGGTCGCACCTTCTCCACATAGCAACGGAAAGAATTATTTTCTCTCACTCATAAATCATAAATTAACACGAGATATCAATAATCCAGATTTAAGATGCTCTTTAACTGGTATAAAACATCTTAAAAAAAACAGGCCACTTTCGCCTTACGCTATGACCCAGAGTGCTGGAGATAGGCACTTTATTTCAAATATGGTCGCAGTTTCCCCTCATTCAGCCCTTTTGCAAGAACAAACATGCAATTCTCACCATGCTCAAAGCCTTTTCCGTAACTTTCTCCCAAGGTTTACTTGCTGCACTCCTTCCCCATTCCGACCACCAGTTATAGGAAAACAGTGCTACCTCACCATATCAATGCCCCTGGTCGTTTATATTTAGTTTTTTAGCTGGAGTGGAAAGGAGGAAAGAAAAGGACAAGAGACCCCCCCCCTCTTTTTTTTTCCTCTCCTCTTTATCCTCATCCTGTTCTTAGCCTCTTCAGACACTGACCTCTCAGTACCCACATCTTGCTGTTCTTAAACACTTATTATATCTGGGTTTGAGAGGACTTTTCCTACAGTCCTGTTGAAACGTGTTACTGTGATTTATTGAACTTGTTTGTAATGTCCTGTTCACGCGGTTATTTCACGTTCGCTTTGCAAAAGAACCTGCGTACCTACACATTATGTTGATACTGCATTTTTGTATTGTGTAACAAACTCCAATTTTGAAGAATTCAATTTTTTGTAAAAAAAAATTTAAATTAATTTCCAACCCTATGCTACTAGCCAAACCTTAAAATGTACCCGCCACTGCAAGTCTAGAGGGTCCGCTGCACACTCACCAGGGGTGAATTTCTACTTATCAGGGCTAAGTTTTCTCTCTAAAACGGCTAGTAGTGGGTGGAAATGTTGAGCTCAGATGCACACAATTCCAAAACCATTCAAAAACAGTTAAGGAATGCAGTTAATGGCATGATGGGTAGTTCCCAGCATGCTTTATGATGATAGCTTTTCCTTTTGAAAACAAAACCAAAACACAATTTGAAAAGTATCAGACTCCTAAAATGAGCTTGTACACATCTGTGCTTCTGAGCACAGGGAGTACATGTTTGTTGAATTAAATTTTTAAGCCCAAACAATAGGTTTTTGAAGACCATAACAGTTTCCAAGGTAAAAGAAAAAAGGTAGCACAAAGGCTAAGTATTAGATTAGTGAATAGGATAAGTCAGTGTATGAAGTAACCTTACCCTCATCCGATACATCTGTTGAAGAGAGGATTCCGAAATTTAGGCCACACACAAACTGGCCTGTGAAGCTCTGTGATTCTGTTATTATATGGCCTGATTCGGGTTAGCAAGGAATTATCTCTTATAACAAGCTGTAACCCGATAGCTCTCCTGGTCCCTCGAGATGCTCCTTTTTTTGTATTAAACATTAGATGGTAGAGCATTGAATTTTATAATAGAAACAAAGACACAATTCTGTAAAAAAAAATATTCCCATACAGGGACACATTTTGTTTATTCACAAAATCCTAAGCAGCACATATTTGGAGGGCTCAGAGCAGAGATGCTTAGCTCATAAAATGTGAATGTTGAGTAAATTACAACATTTCCGGGTAAATCATTTTGCTCCTGAATATGTGAGATGCATTTACTTTCAACTACTTACTTTTAAGCTTATTCTGTTATACATAAAAAGAAAGCAGTCAAGTGTCATACTTAGTATTATGTTTTATCAACCTAATTGACACAATATCAAATGTAGAGTTCATTGATGTATTTGCAAAAGACTAACCTTTTGAGGTTCGTGGCTAAGAAATTATTGTAGCCAGAGGCGCATGTGTTCAGATCAACATGTTTTTTTAAAGAACAGGATATTTCTCACGAGGAAGGCGGCCACAGGGTACATGCCTTCATCGTGTAAGTCAATTAGTATCAGTGACCTTCTGTGATCTGGTTACTGATGGGCTTGATGGAATCCTTGATAGCTAAAATGTAGTAAAGGCTTATGGAAATATCTGGAAATGCACAAAGCTATGCCACTGGTTATACCTGAAAGAAGAATTAATTTAAAGGGACAAACCACAAAAGAATTGAAAATATTAGTCTACAATAGCAGAGATGGAAAATATACTTGGGGCATTTTTTCAGCATAATTATTTTCAGACTTGTGTTCGGTACGTCCGAGACAAATTTCTTTAAATCCACACCTGAACTTAAAGTATTCATCTGGTATTTACCTGTGACGTCTTATTCAATGACCCCAGAGGTAAATCCTGTACTAATTTTTTTTAAGATATGGATTCCAAACAAACTGGCTTAAATTTTTTTTTTTTTTTTTTTTAATAAGTCTAGTTATTTTGATCTGATATTTGCAACGACCAGGCAAATTATTGACAATTCTCAATTAATTAATAAAGACAGATGAACCCACACACATGCATACATTGTTATCTTCTTTAGAGATGCACCAGTATAACACTCATTTCTGTAAGGCTGTTTAGTTAGAAATAACTTCTTGATTAAACATTTCAGAAATAAATTTGTTTAATATTCTCCATAGGTGGCTAAAGAACTAAGGTGATCAATGTAGATTTTTAGAAGACAAAAAAATACTTCATTTTATGAGCATTTACCAACTACCGGAAATGTCTCAATAGATCTTTAACTGTTCCAGGGACTAGTGGAGAATTTTCTCCTCACCCATCTGCAAATTCCTGAGCATCCAAAAGTAATTTTCTCCTCATAAAAACGGCTGCTGTTGCTCACTGCGGTTGTGGTTTTGAACCTTTCTGCAAGGTTCCAGTAAAGCGTATATCTGGATGACTGAATTCATCCATTGTAAGCCTCTTATCCCTTGCAAACTCATCAATCTACCTCTGACTTGGTTATTGGTACAAAATGTCAGACCAAAACGTTTAGTGTATGTTTACAGCATGCCCAGGATTCTAAATGACTGGTTTAGCTTGCAGGACGAAATCACTGAATGTTCACAGTTTATACTACACAGCATCTGATGCCAAATAAGGAAATCGTCTGTTTAAGAGTTTGTAAGACAAATTAATTTTTTTTTTATTTTTTTTTTTTTTTTTAAAAGCAGGCTTGTAAACTGGCATACAAAAAGACTTATTCACTAAACAGGCAGTTGCAAACGAGCTAAAAAGGGTTTAAATTCCAGACTAAAATACATTGCAGAAAAAAAAAAATAGATAAAAATGAAACAATTCCATAGGGTTAATTCACTACAGCCCAAAATATAGCAAATTGAAATCTAACTGGTAAAATATAGGAAAAATATTATATTTATTATCTTCCAGATTTTTTAAATTATTTTTTGTTACTCGGGAAAGGGAAGAGGTACTTGCAGAAAAAAAAATAACACACAAGCATTGTCCAAACCTAGGGTGTGGTGCAGTGGGTAATCTCTAGCGTCCAAACCCAAAGTGTTTCTTGAAGAAAAAAAATAAAATAAAAACAATGGGCTTTGATAAAAAAAAATTGAAACAGTCAGACTTGTATCTTCAGAGGCCAAACTGAGGAGTAAAAAATATGTTTGGAAGTAAATATGAATATTGTAAAGAGGAAAGCAAAGCTCAAGTGTCAAGTTTATCTTGTTCAGTCAAGAGGATTAGGCTTTGAGAGAAAAAAAAAAAAAAGGACGCCTTTTTATCCCACATCTCGTGCTTTCAATTTTTGGAAGGTTACTTGAAATGGCTCCTTACCATTGGTTTATTCATGGCTGGGAAGTCTCAGGAGGCAGAAGGGGAGAAAATAAATAAAAAGAAAGAAAGAAACCCCGAGCTCTATGCAATTCAAAAAGAAACAAGCTAAATTAATTTTAAACAGGACTAAAATACTACCTTTCGGTTGTTTAACATATGTGTATCCCTTTCCATTACATGATCAGACGCTGGAAGGAATTGCGTTTCCTTCTATGCAGTTAAAAAAATAAAACTTCACATAGATTAAGGGGTGTAAACATACTACAGGTTGAGAAACAGATACCTAAATCAACAGACTATGCTAAAAAATATTTGGTTGAGCCCAGTAAACAGAAGGAGGCACATGTGGGGGCCTCAAGCAGGAAAATAACCAAATCTGCAAATACTTTGCCCCAACGTACATACTGATCTAACTTACAGAAAAAGAACGAAGATACATAACAGATGCTTTAGAGAGAACGACTAAAAAGTGAACGATTTTACTAGTAGGGAGCTCAATAAGAAAGGAATGTCATTACAATAAACTGGCTGGAGATCAGGAGAATATTAAAATTCAATACACATCAATGGTCATTTTGTCATAATTAAAAAAAAAAGGAAATGAGAAAAATAAAACCCTTCCCCACCCAAAAAATAAAACCCACAAAACTATTTTATATATATTTATTTATTATAAATCACCCTATTTAGTATTCTTTGCATCAGCAGCTTGGAAGAACTTCCTGGTTTTCTATTTAAGCTCATTACGTCACAGGGGTATGATTTCTGACTTAGATTATCCAGAGCAATGCTGGTATGGCTGAAGCAGTTACCTTTCAGACATTGCGAAATTGCAAAAGATAAGGGACAGTTAGTCCATTTCATTGTGAAAGTGCAGTTTGCCAATTTCCTTTTCAGAATGACCTTATCCCATGAATTCTTCCACTGGAGGACAATTTCACATACACTAGTCTATCTGTAAGAGCCATCTTTAACACAAGGCAAACAGGGCAGCTGCCCTGTGCCAAGTTACTTCAGGGGTACCCGCTGCTTGCAATTTATTTAACCCCTTAAGGACACATGACATGTGTGACATGTCATGATTCCCTTTTCTTGCAGAAGTTTGGTCCTTAAAGGGTTAAGCAGCCCTCTGAACCCGGCGGTGCAACTGCACCTCCCTGCACACTAATGAGGCACACGCACTTAAGGACCACATGGTGGGCATGTGTCAACAGGGAACCATTTGGGCGCTGTAACAGCGCGACCGGACCCCTTTCTTTTTAGCAGCCTGTGAGGAAGTGACAGTCGCAAGTGGGAGGGGGCCAGGCCTCAACCTGCTATTGGACCCCAGGGAAACCACCCTCCAGCGAAAGGCAAGAACATGAAGGGTGGCCAAGTGTAAAGTGTGTGTCCGTCAGTGTCAGTCAGACGGCCCTGCTTTCTGTAAAGTTGTATGCATACACCAATGGTGCCCATGACCATACAATGTAAGGAGATCTGCGAGTAGATGAGCAGATCTTGTGAAGCAATTGATCCTTGCATCTTGTTCACATTACATTCTAACAAAAATAGAAGGAGCAATCTTATGGTAAGTGCATATTTTAATGTAGCCTCTGCACTTATCCACAGATCCAAAAAAGCAGCGAGTGTTCAATAGCATCCCCTGATGAGAGGTTTTTATGCTATTTTGTCTAACTCACTATGGCACACACACAGCATCAGCTGTTGCAAAATTGAATTCACTTATATCTAGCCAATTAATGCACCTTTTTCTATTGTGTAATTGATATAATTTTATCTAAAAGTTTACCCACCTTTTTCATCAGTTTTGTTGATAAAAGTTGCTAGTAATCTGATAAAAACAATTACAGATAATGACCAAGTATCCTGTTTTGAGAGTCTGCATTAATCAAATTGCCACAGACTGGGCTGACAAAGGGAGCCCTGTTAACTATTAAATGTCCCTCAATATACATACATTTTATTTCAAGGTTTCAGTTACAGGAAATGACTGTCAGTTTTAATATAATGTGTGTTAAATAATAAAAATTCACTTAATCAGGTGGTGAAACTTCTATTTTTATGTGGATTTATAGGCTCTAACACCTGATTGTAGGATTAGTTTATTACTAAATGTATAGTAATTTTTGCATCTGGCATAGAGTTCTTCATTTTACTACATGTAAATAAATGTACTTGCAGTAACATGTGAGATTTATTAAGTCAGAGTACAGCAGTGATGTCAGCACCTGGCGCAAAAGGACAGGCCAGAAGATTATGGCGGTGCCTTTGAGGAAAAGTTTCAGGTAACTACATCTCAACTTTGCCTGCCTACCCAGGCCACGGGTCCACCAGCAGTGATGTCACCGAGTGCCACTTGCAAATTATGCAATGTGCCTAGACGGTGACAGTGCCTCTTTAAGGCATTCCTAAAAACCAGCTTATGTTTTGGTTAGGGGAATGATTTGTAAAATTTCTTTAAGGAAAAGGAGGTGTGATAACCATAGCACACCTCCGTGCTCTCCTAGTAGACACTAGGGCAGGGGTAGACAACCTTTTAGTAGTACTGTGCTAAAACCAGATCTTAAAGTCCCATGTGTGCCAGTCCTATTTATTTTTTTTAAATTGAGATGTATATATGTTGCTGTATCGCACTTATTATTTATGGGTGTAGTCGCTTTGTAGTTCTGTATTTGTGTGTATGTGGTCTGTTAGTAGTTGGGCTGCATAGGGTGTTTGGTGGTTTGTGTATTTGGGGCTGTTGGTGGTATTGCATATGAGAGCTGCTTATGGGGTTGTGTGCGTGTATATGGATTGTCAGTGGTGTTGTGAATGGGCTCTTTGCATTATCTGTATGGGGGTGGGGGGAGGCTTATTCTGTAACTCTGTATATATTCTAGCAGTGATGGTGGGTTCCTTGGGTCCAGTGGGGACTGGGCTGGCCAGGTACAAGGAGATATGATAGCTGCTACAGACTGCTCTTCTCCAGTGTGGAAATTGAGGATTGACCCTCATTACCTTTTTGCACGAGCAATAACTGAAGTTCCACTGGCACTATTTTATAGCTATTTTATAGCTCTAACAGCCTTGAGTGCTATGCACGGTACCCAAGCCATAGGTTGTGGACCTTTGCACTAGGGTTAACAGAGGCTGCAATGATTTAGAGTCCATTGTCCCCTTACAACATAAGAAATTAAAACTAGTTACAAGAAGAACAAAAAGGGGGCGATATACATGGAAATACAAGCAGTGTTGTAAGAGTGAAGGAGTTTAGATACAAAGCAAGAGAGGAAAGACATGTTATACATATTGGGTTTATACATGCCCTACCATATATGATAAAAGTTACTTTGATGTTGGACAGTACGAGGTTGTCAAACCAAACTTCCAATTTCTCTCCCACAGCTGCACTCACTTCATGTGTCATGGAAAACACAGGCAGTAGAAAAAGAAATTAAAATCTTATTAAAGTGTCAGTATATCTGCATGAATCACATTCTGTCACATTTCCTTTCCCCTAGGTTTCTAAGCTTAAGCCAACACTTTAATAAAAGGTAGATTTTTCTATTGAGCTTTTTACTTTCAGAGTTCTACTTGAAATATCTAGAGAGTGCGGCTAAAAAACTGGATTTGAAAAGTTGGAGCCAGTATTCATCTACTTGGACTATTCATTCCAAACTAGTGTTTACTTTTATTAATTTGTTATTTTGAAGATCGTATTTAGTTTATTATATGCGAGCGAGCAGCACACCATAATTCAGAAGTGAGGCCTTTGAGCCATACCTTAAATAACCAATTATCATTCTACTCCTTTGTGCACATTCCTTGTACATCTTGAGTCTGGATGTTTGTGAGCTTAACATTCGTTTTATCTAGTTAAATACATGCATTTTCAGCCACCATAGCATAAGTGCCAAAGTCACCATTGGGTGTCTTCTCAAAATATGCAAAGACCCCAGAAGGTGACAGAGCTGCTCTCTGATGCTTTCCTACTGATCACGTTACAATAATTAGGGATTGACCGATTATCGTTTCCACCAATTATTAGAGCAGATATGTGGCATATTTCTGATAATAGCCATCGGTCTTGTTATTTACCAATAACCTACTTACCGCTCCCAGTCACCGCACAAGGTCTTCCACAGCTGGAAACAGTCCACAAGCCAATAAAGCGCTACATCGTGACCTCACGTAACCCTTCTTATCTAACCTTCTTAACCAATCTTATGTAATGAACTAAGCTAGCTGACAGACTGATAGAAGTGTGACTGTAGTGATCTGTAACAGCACTGTACATGCTAGGATCTCAGGGACAGCACCATGCAGTCCTGCGGTTTATTCAACAGGTCATTTCAGCGCACAATAGGAAGATTCAGTAGTACATTGGTATTATGAACCAGTCCAATCTCTGTAATTAAGATTGACTCATTCAATTTATCAGTAGTGGTGTCTGGCTTCAATGCACAGTTACCCTTTGAAGTTCTGGTTTCTTCATTAAGTGTTACCTTCTTGGTCACCAAACTAACAATTTTAACAGTTTTAGTTATCCGAAGTTCAAAGCCATGTTCAAAGGTAATGAGAATGGGCTGGAAAACAATTGCCGAAGAATGCATGATTTAGTTCGCTAATTTGGGGGCACTGATGCCTTATCACTATATTATGGATCGTAATCTATTTAAAGGACCAACAGAAAGCAGGGTTCTGTTAACTGCAAACATTTACAGATGACACATCCCAAATTGTATTCATTAGCTAGACACATTTACATACATTTGGAGAGGTATTCAAAGTCAATGCAGCCAGACCATTTGCAAGTCAATGGCAGCAAGAGAGCAAGCCCAATTAAAGTTGTAATGTGTCAGGGGCCCATTGTAAAATGCAAAGTTCTGGTCTGCACTTGCAAAGCAGAAGCGTAAACAAATCCAGCCATTGATTTCTTTTATTGATCGTCACAACCCAATTGAACTTATCCACCATGCTTCTATGGACACACAAAACAAAAAATCAATAATGGTGGTCAGCACATGTATATCTGAAAATCTGTCCCCTGTGCTATGTAGAACTTAAATACTACAGTAGGCAAATCAGGTCATCAAACAGAGATGAATTCTGGAGCAGACATTCTTTGTGCTGCCCATCAACATGAACAAATTTTCAGAGTTCACAAAAACCACAGTGAGAGACAACTCCAGCGACAAGCTGTGCCCTGCTTCATCTGCCATTCAAACTTTCCTTCAAAACAAAATAAAGTTTGGAAATCTAATTTTAACCAGTTGAATGCCAGCAATACTGAAAACATGAGTCATGCAAACTGCTGTTAAAATGTAGACTTGACTACAGGGAAGGAGCACATTACTAAAGCAAAAAAAAAAAAAAACAAAAAAACATGCCCCCCACAATCTAGATTTTAAAAATAATTTAATCACACTTAAATAGCGTGTTTACAGTAAACATAATTACACAAATCATAACAACTAGGCCACCCTTAATAAGCAATACAAAGTAATGTGTTCTGTTGATACGCTATTTCTTTGAAATTATATTTTTACATTATACTATCTATCAAGCCCTCCCATACTAACCCCACCCAGACTTTGTGGCTGTCCAATCACAGATTTCCCAATGCAGCTCAATGAGAAGTCTTTGCAAGGCAGGTGATCTGGGCAATTGCTGCCTCATGAGTTTAGATCTACTGAGCTAATCAAACCAGGAAGTAACATGACCAGTTGTCCTGTTACAGCAGGGGGTTGTCACAAGTTTAATTTATAAAACCACCTATATCTATTGAAAACAGCACTTTTTTCACTTTTTTTATTTTACAATGAGGACCAAAAACTTTACAAATCTGCTGATATCACAAATTGAGGCGTAGTCACAGAATCCAAAAAACAGCATGATGTACAGGTAGTAACAAGACCCCCCATCCCCAAGGGTGTTTAACCAAGAGCATTCAGACACTTAATTTAATTGTTTTATCAAAAACCTCTAAGACTTCAGAGTACCATAATAAATCAAATGTATATCATGGCCAGATTTTTGGAGAATTAAAAAAAATTAGTATTGGAGACATGTCCAAAACTTGCTTCCCAGAAAGGCTACCTGGTGATGATCAATATTTGTGTCACCACGCAGACCAGTGTCAAACTTTGATGCTATTTCTTACCCTAGCTATACTTTAGCCAAACATTTTTGCTGTACTTCATTATGAAGCAATCCCACAGTAGCCTGGTACATGCTGCCTTGGGATGCACTAGACTCTGAACACTGGCTTCCCAACACCAGAGAACAGAGACAGAAAACTAGGATTGGCTCAGCGGTAACTTAAAGGGACACTCCAGGCACCCAGACCACTTCTGCCCATTGGAGTGGTCTGGGTGCCAACTCCAACCACCCTTAACCCTGCAAGTGTAATTATTGCAGTTTTTATAAACTGCAATAACTAACTTGCAGGGTTAAGTCCTTAGAACACGGAAAGTGTTTTAAATGATGCTGGACGTCCTCATGCTATGTGAGGACTTCCAGCGTCGCCGAAATCCCCAATGGAAAGCACTGATGCGCGAGCGTGGCCATTGCCGTGCATGCGAATTAGGTCTCCCCACGCCGGCTGACGTTGTCGGGGGAGAAGAGTAGACTGAGCCTGAGGGGCATCGGCCCTGGACTCTGGTAAGTCACGGAAGGGGGTTTAATCACTTAAGCAACATGGGATGGGGGGGGTGGGAGGGAGAGGGGCACTGCAAGCTCCTGTAGTGCCAAGAAAACCAATATGTTTTCCTGACACTGGAGAGTCCCTTTAATCCCCCAAAAAATAAAAATAAAATATACATATACACACATATACATATATATACACACATACACATACACACACACACATATACATATATATACACACATATACATATATATACACACATATACATATATATACACACACATATACATACACACACACACATATACATACACACACACATATACATACACACACACATATATATATATATATATATATATATATATATATATATATATATATATATATATATATATATATATATATATATATATATATTATTCGTTTTGTAATCAGGACTGCTAAAACAGCATCCCCCCTCTTTCATCTAAAAGTTTTGAATTATAAATTCACTTTTAACAAAAAAAGCCTTCTCAAGGTAGGTGTGGGTCCAATGTGTTGATGTAGACTATGTGCCCAGCCATAAAGTATTTGCACCTGAAGCCTTATTTCATGACTACTAATGTGATTCAACACGCAAAACTATGTAACATCTACATAGAATACAAAAATAGACAGAATGTAAACTGGTCCTTAGAATGGCCAGATTAATACGTTGAAAGTCAGAGAACGGTCAAGGGAAAGCAAAGGTCACAGGATCAATAAGAAAGCCAAGTCAGGAAAACCAGATATCAGAATAGTCAGGAATAGCCAAAGTCAGAATACCGGCACAAGAAAACACACTCTCAGGAACCAGGAACGGAAACCACGACAAGGCAATGAACTAGGGAAATTCAGGGGTTTAAATATCCCTCCTTGGGCTGTGATTGGTCAGGGCTTGGCCTCTGACTCCAGAACGTGCGTGTGCGTCGTAACGTCACACGTATGTTCGCGTGACCTTTGGAGGCGGGGCTTCAAATGGGCGCGACCTCGTGGTCGGCACCATTTTGGATCCCGCGTGTGATGGAGACAGATGCCGCAGCGGGTCGGCTCCTGACTCGCTGCTGCACAGGTAAGCTCTTATACCTATCTGTGTGGTCGCACTGATCGGGTGCGACCACGTGCAGCTGCGAGCCAGGGGCCATGACACCTTACTTATTTTTAAGTTTCATTTTATATGGAGAAAGCACGAGAATGCGTAAGCACAAGTCCGTGTGCTAGGCTTTGGGAGTTTTTATACAATTGTGTATAAAATCTTACATAAGTGATAATTGCAGCGATTGCAATTAAAAGTGTAATTTAGCACACAAAAGATATTTGGGTTGCTAATTTCCAATAGGCTGCCTGCACTTCATCGTCTACATGTGACAATTCACAAGTGCCACGGATCATTAACACACCTGCCATGATCAATGCATTATCTGCCCCTTTAACTACCACCTATACTCTGCCTGACACGTTAAAACATTTGTTAGATAAAAATGTACTGCATGATTCCAGCCACTGACCGATTCTAGCAGAAACTATAGGGACATTACATGTCAAATAAACAAGGTACTCAACCTCACATTCTTTGTATTTAAAAAAAATAAATAAAAAAAAAAGTTGGCATCCTGAAAAGATATGAGCCTATGCAAATATATATTATTTACATACATATATATATATATATATATATATGCAAATATATATTATTTACACATATATATATATATATATATATGCAAATATATATTATTTACACATATATATATATATATATATGCAAATATATATTATTTACATATATATATATATATATATGCAAATATATATATACACACATATATATATATATATATATATATATATATATATATATATATATATATATATATATATATATATATATATATATATATATATATATATATATACACATATACACACACACACACACACACTATTATGCTTTAACGCTACCAAATTTGAAGATGAGATGCCAATGGCATCATGATTTCTATTAGAGTCAGAAAACAGGAATTTCCATTTACAGTAATCTTCTTAGTACAAACACGTTTAAACATGTTCTGACTTGCATGTCAAATCACAAATTAAAGGTCTGTTGTGATCGTTGCAGAGTGAAGATTGTTCCACTGCAATGGGCACTCCAGATTCCTAAAGTGCATTAAATGTGAAGAGTGTGTCCTATTTTTCCCCCCTCTTCATTTTACAAAACATGCAGATTTCAAAAGAAATTGCCACTTTTATAATTTAACCTTATACTTCCTCGAATTTCGCACAATCCTCCCTTTTACTTGGCTGGCTGTCTAGCTCAGTAGAGCTAAATTTAAGATATAGCAATTGCTCAATGCACCTGCCTTACAAAGACTTCTCATTGAGCTGCCTTGGTAAGACTGTGATTGGACAGCCACTGAAAGTCTGGACGGGATTAGAATGGGAGGGCTTGTGAAGACTTCAGACGAGAGTTCCGCAAGTCGTTTTTTGGATAGAACACCAGCAAGAAAATGCATAAGTAAATGCATGCATGTTTTCATTGGGGGTATATCTACTAAACAATGTTCTTTATTAATTTGGGCAGTGGTCTGTTCAGTATAACCTCACTTTTTAAGAGTGCCCTGGTTACCGAAATATTGAATGTTAAAGTTTACAAAGGGACGCGTGAACGTTTGTTTCACCACCTTGTAAATACGGAAGATATGGACTTGAAATTTTGCATACGTTCATGCTTCAGGTGGCCCTTTTTTAGATTTAAGTCAAAGAATAAAGTGTCTCTTCATTAATTGATTTCATGTGAAATTCCTTATTGAGAAGCGAGACATAGCTCAACTGCCATTATCGTATTGTTGGTTATTCTTGTTGTTATTCCTCCTTACACATGCAGCATGCAATCTTTAAGAATCACCAGAAATGGTCTTCTCCTTTGTGGGCTACATTTTGGTAAAATTGCATACTCACATCAAAGTGTGAGCAGGAGCATGAAACATCTAAATGTTAAGAAAATAAATTAAAACAAATAAGTACAATCAGAAAGCCGGTCCACCTGGGTGAATGCACACAGCCCTGACTTCTGCATGGACAAAGTCCATTTCCTAAATCAGGCCGCTGGGTGCTCACTCAGCATTTCGTATGGAAACCCGGCATAAATATAGAAAAATAAATACATTGTGATAGGTTTTACTTATTCATAAATGAAAAAAGGCATTTAAACCTGTTAAATAAACATTTCTGAAAGTGCCTCTGCTGTTGAGGAACATTAATGTGAGCAGAACTTAATAAAACTTAAATCTAAACATTTCCATAGATAATTTAATGTTTTCCATTCTGTACACATGTTAATTTTGTCGCATGATGCAAAATCAGTGTGGGTCAGCTATTAAAAGGCATTTTTTTCTACACAAAACAAATCTAAAAAAATAAAATAAAAAGTCAAGTGATTTTTAAGGGGGTGGGGCACCCAATAAGTAAAAGTCATCAACGCTAGTCATGGTTGATCTTATCACAGGAAATGTGGGTGACAAGGTGAGACTTGCCTACAGAGCGCAGTGAGGAGAAAGCCTGTGTTTTTACAGTCTTACATGAAAGTCAGCTGAAGCAGCCCAGTCTCCCAAGCATTTTTCTTTACTTCACATTATTTTAAAAGGCCTATACTAACCTACTCAGTCATATATTGTACCACATTTTTACCTACTACACTCACCATGTCCTTTTATGTACGTGTAGCATGTACTGTTCTTGTCCCTTTGTGACTTTTTCACACTCCTAACCAATCAGAATATATGCTTAAGGCAAAATAGCGACTATGTCAACTAACAAATTCTGGCAAGATGAGGTGACAGACTATGATGCCTATGGCATCTCATTGCAAGTACAGGAGATCATCAGTGGAGGCCCCTGCAGTCTCACGGGATCTCCATACACATACATTGTTTACTCTGGCATATGCACAAGAGTATACCAATGACGCGGGCTCCTGGCAGAAGAAGTCAGTTTCTATTGTCATGTAAACAGTTTGCCTAACTATACAATATAGAATGACCACAACTTGCAAGTCATAACATAGAAGAGCAGCATGCTACAAGCAAGTAGATTATGGGATGCTCTAGTAGCCACTATGGAGCAGAAACCAAGATAGCTTTAAGTGACTTAGATTTTAAGTGAGTAACACATTTCAGATGTGGCAAGATTAACCAATCTGAATGTAGACTTTATTTACATCAAATATGTGTAACACATGGGCAAATTATTCATGCTACTCTCATTTGGCAAAAGAAAAACGTATTTTAGAAGGTTCAGAATGCCAATGAGGTTCAAATATGCTCATGATCTAATTACAGTGGGTCTATCTTAGTGGAGATGCCTCGATTATTAAAGGAATAATTTGTTTTGAAGTGAGACAGTTGCATTGATAGAACATTTTACTTGTATATATAACAAGGATTTCACATTACTATAATGCTGAAGTCTGCCAAATAATATATTATATATGATACTTGTACATTGATAAAACAATCAGATAGTTAGCCAGTTGCCCTATGGGGCACTTAAGCATTAATGAGATAAATGGGATAGGAATGGTGTTGTTGATTTGACACTGGTACAATTTGGTTAACATAGAAAATAAAATTTAAAAAAAGCATCCGTTAATTTGATTTTCTTCCTTTAAGATGAGGATCAAGAGAACAGCAATTTATACAGCTGGCCAGCAACTAGTTTCTAAAAATGTGGATTTGGCAACAATCCCTTCTAAATCTTGTTTTAATTATGACAGTGAGACAGGCAGGGGAAGCTGAACTGAAGGATATTTGAAGAAGGCTCAATGGGAATGTTTGTGCATAGAGAGAGAGACTTGTACTCTAGGTGTAGATGGATGTGTGTGGGTGGAAGAAATTTGGAGCCAAAACCCTTTCTGGGGCCTTTAAAATGGTCCTAATTACGCATGAAAAATCTGGCTGGATTTTCATCAGATAAACCTCTTTAAAAACAATATAGTCCATGCAAATGGGATTTAATGAACTGATGTAAGCAAGATTGCAAGGCTGGGCAGAACATTTCGCTGATCCCAAAAAACCATATCCAGGAAATGTGTAAAACAATTAGCTTATGTCATGTCAAAGTGCACATGCACCTTAAAGAGAGATCCTTTATCAGAGTTACACTAATCACATGCATTAAGAGAAGAAATTGGCTGTGGGATGAAAGGGAATAAAGCAGAAGATAGCTCAAAGTATTTCAATATGCTTGCAGACAGGGGAAGGCTGGCAGCCTTAGACCTGGGATGAAAATCCAGTCAAGTGGCCAATTGCCCACCTTTTCCTGGTTTTATAATGTATATTGATGTTATAAAGCAAGGCAAATATGATACAATGTGGTTTATGTGGGGGTGAGTGATGGTTGAGATCGAGGGGGGGCGATGGCCAAGAGGGAGGGGGGTGATGGGCAAAAGGGAGGGGGGTGACTACATACCTTATGTCATTCCCTGGTGGTCCAGTGTGGGCTTCCTGGTAATCCAGTGGGCTCCCTGGTGGTCCAGTGGTGATATCCACTGCAGACCATATCTCGCGAGACCGGTCAGGGCATTACCGTGGTAACCTGCTGCAATGCTCTGAGTGGCCAGATCTCGCGAGACACATGGTCTGCAGCTCTGCACACTGCGGAGCTGCAGACCAGCGGCCACGGGCGCTCTCGGGCAGCCTGGAGGGGCCTCGCACCTGGCGGCATACTGGACAAGCCACCGGGCCCCCATTCCTGGTATTGGGTCCTCGATCACTAACCAAGGACCCAACACAGTCTGCCCTAAGGCGGTTTAGGCGGCTGTGAGGCCTTAGGCGGCCGCCTAAACCGGTTAACTAGAGAGCCGCCTGCGGCTGTTTTTAAAATAATTTAGGACGGCCTGGGGTGCAATTGCCTCCCTGCTCCCCCGTCCCAGCTTGCAAAAAACAAAACAAAGAAAATCGTAAAAAAAAAAAAAAAACAGCACAAAGAAAAATACTTTTAATATGCCAGAAGCTTGTGTTGAGGACAAATAAAATGAAACCACCTAAAATGCAGTATATAGTTACTAATGACTCAAATTTGTGTTGGGAAGTATATGTAAAAATGCAAAATCAATATGAAGCCGTATAAAAAATGAATACACCACTGTAGATCAATAAAAAAGGTACTAAAAGCAAAAAGAGTTTTTGCTAAATGAAGTAGAAGTATATAAAAAAAATACATCCCTACCTTTAGTACATGACAGGATTCTTCAGCCATATACATATACCTTGGGTCAGATAGTGTTTGAAAACCTCTATATAGTCTCTATGGTCTTCCCTGCACCTTGCAGTGACATCATCAGACCGACTGACTATTACATTCAAACAATGTCTGACTCTGGGTGCATGTATATGGTGAAATATCCCGTCACATACTAAATATAGGGATGACATTTTCTAAATTTTTACATATACTTAATTTAACAAAGAATCCATTTCCTTTTAAAACTTGATGAAGTTGTCACTATATTAAAAGACAGTGTCGAGGTTACAGTTCTCTCCTTTAAATACACATTACTGTTGTTATTGCTGTGGAGCTCTAAATTTAAACACACCAAGAATACTGAGCTCCCATAAAAGATGGACATTAGGATAAAAAAAAGAGGAAGAGAAGGATTTGGGCCGAAAATAGGGACTGTGCCTCTTAAATAGGGACACTTGAGAGGTATGCAAATGTTCCATAAAATGCAAAACCACTGCTGCTACCTCTCTGTACTGATTAGTACAGGAAAATTGCATGCAATTGGGAAGTCTATGAGTGCAAACAGTACATCAGGGTCCACTAGCAAAACTAGTACCAATTGTACATCAGGGTCCACTACTTTACTAGTAAACAACAAAGGTTGTGGGCTACAGCCACTTATCAACAAATGTACTTTTACAAGTGGACCGCAACAGTATGGTCTTTGAATGCCATAATTGATCTAAAACTAGAGGCAAATATTTTATTTCCTGATCTCTTCACACTCCCCCTGTGTTTTCAGAATATCAGCTCTGCATCAGCAAGACAAATATACTAATGTAGGAAATGACACTGAGCCACGCAAACTAATTCAGAGCTGCTGCTTAACTTAGAAATATGCTAAGAAGCAAAATACCTAGACTTCTGTGGTTACAAGAGACTTAATGTGCAAATACGAAGAAATGTAAGCTCACGACCAACATCTGCATTTAATTTATGGAATGCACAGGAAGACATTTACTTTACAGTCCAGGTTACAAAGTGACAACTTAAAGCAAGCATGGACAACATGTGCATTTGGAAGTAGTTTCGTTCTGGCACTAAATGGTGAGCTGATTAGAGGGTGACACGACTAGTTAAAAACAAACAAAAAATAATAGTCTAATAGGGTATGTCTATAGAGACATCAAATTGTTCAAAGAATTCAAACTAAGATAAAGATGATTCTCACAGCATTCTTAAACAATGCTTTGGTAATTTTTATATTCCATATATGGTAACGTGTTTTCATTTTGGAGTATTATCCAACATCTACACATTAAAAGGGCACCACTACTTGGTAGATAAATCCCCAATGAAAACAAATACACATTTAATTATGCATTTTCTAATTGGGGGTATATCTAAAAACCTCTTACGAAAGTTGCATGTCTCTTGTCAGCCTCCCAGACTTTCTGTGGCTGTCCAATCAGAGACTTCCCAATGAAGCTCAATGAGAAGTGTTCGCAAGGCAGGTGCTCAGAGCAATTGCTGCCTCTTGGGTTTAACTCCACTGAGCTAACCAAACCAGGAAGTAACAGGACTGGTTGTGTAATTGACAGCCAAGTAGGTGTAACAAAATTAATATATTAAAGTGACAATTTATATTTAAATCTGCAATTTTTGTGAAATTAAAAGAAAAATGGGGCATATTCTTCACAAATAAAGCACGTCTGCAAACGGGGGTGCTTTTGTGGTTTGAAGTGTCCCTTTAAGTTTCCAGGAACTGCACTCAACATTTTCAAAGGCTGTGTACATATGCACACAGTTCTCTGCCTTTTAGCACAGCAAACTATGCAGGGTAAAATACAGAGATATTACATAATAAATGTTAAATTATTAGTCAAAAATACATGCAAGGCATGTATTAAACACTGATCAATTAGTAAAAGGGTTCATTCACAAGAAAAGACAGATGTGGTAGGTTTTAGAACGTGTATTAAAGAAGTTAGAAAAAATATATAAATACAAATCTATTTTAAATAAACTAACCACACAAAGAATATGTTCAAATGTAGCATCATCTAGAACAATGGTATTTGCGCAAACCCAGCTGCCTGACTTTAAAGGGTTACACCATAACGTGGTCTTGTTAGTAGGAGTCTGTATGTGCAGCATTTCTGCATGAAACGTTGCACATCCAGAGATATAATCATTTTTGTGCCAGGCAAGTTATACCCCTGGCACAAGTGACTTAGGCAGCTTGGAACTCTATTATGGGATGCCCAATATCAATCCTATGCGAAAATTACGTCTGTCATCAGCATGCACAGTGCTCTTGCGAAAGATGTAATGAGGAAACATGATCTCCCCCTCTTTCCTTTTGTGCACTACCTCCCACCTTGCTTACAATATTATTGTTTTTTTAAATCCCCTCCCACTTTTTCTCCACCTCACCTCTTACTGGCTCAGAGTGCGTGCATGCGCTCTGAGCCAGTGTAACGGTCCAATCAAATTATTTTAATTGGATCACACAAGAGAGGCTGTGATGTCAGAACAAGAGTGGAAACCAGTGGGGGAAGCTTTAGCAAACTGTGTATTCCAGCCAAATATATTGCTTATTATCAGCGTTGGGTTTAAACCTTAAGGGGGTGAATGAGCCAGTAATTACAGATTAAAATAACAGACTCATAGGGTTAGAGTAATTTTTAAATAGAAATAAAGAAAAGAAAAACCCACCATACACCATATTATAATAAAGCAATAATAAAAAGCAATGATAGAAGGCTGGGTGTGTCAAATTAAATACAATTGTGTCTTGTTCTCTTTAAAATTATATTAAAAATGTGATCTAATTAGTAGAACATTTCCCATGCATCCTTTGAAAAGTACATTTGAGATTTAAGTTGGTTGAAGAAAATTGCTGTTGAATGGATATCATTTATAAAGCAATGACAAAGATCCGCTTTCAGTTTGATGGGGAAATCAGTGAAGCATAAATTTACAGTGTAGAGTAAAACCAAAATAAACCGTTAACAAGTCAATTGGCCCAGAGGTTGAAAGCTTACCTTCCACATATGTCTTTAATGCCAATGTTTACGCAGACATTAATATTAAACACAGGAAAAAGAACTATATACTTCAAAACGGCACTTGGAAGCAGACTTAAAAATGTGCATGTTAAGATACACTTAAGTTATTTATTATTTTATTTATAACACACACACGGTAAACCATGAATTTTGGGAAAATAATGCAATTATTCAAGAAAATTAAGCTCTAGCAGTCTATCAAGATCTCTGAATCTTCATTGTTCTGTATCTTTTGGGAGGGCATCAAATATTACAGGTCCTCGTCTGCCCTAGATTAGTGGAAATTACACTACAGGGGAGTGGCCGCAAACATTCATGCATCCCCTCTTTAATTAGTGATAGAAGGCAGAGAAAAATGTGTTTATTAGATCTTCCCAGTCCCTCTCCTACCATATCATCAGGAGGGCAGAATAAAACATTATATATGTAGATAGTAGCTGCAGCTTGGGAGGGTAACTCTTTAACATTCGACAGACCAAGATATTTATGTCCTAGAGCTGCCTGAGATTAATAGCCCCTGCACATAGTCCATTAAATTGTGCGAAACAGAATAATGGGGGATGAGGTTCTTTTTTTTTTTAAAGAGATACTTGAATTAACAAAACTGCTTTAGCTTAAAGGACCACTATAGTGCCAGGAAAACAAACTTGTTTTCCTGGCACTATAGGGTCTTTAGGACCCTCACCCTTAGGGTCCCACTCCCGCTGGGCTGAAGGGGTTAAAACACTTACCTTTCTCCAGCGCCGGGCTCCCTCGGCGCTGGGGAACTTTTCTCCTCCTGCCGATGTCAGTGCCGAATGCGCATGCGCGGCAAGAGCCGCACGCATTCACACTGCCCATAGGAAAGCATTTCTTAAAGCTTTCCTATGGACGTCCAGCGTCTTCTCACTGTGATTTTCACAGTGAGAAGCGCAGAAGCGCCTCTAGCGGCTGTCAGTGAGACAGCCACTAGAGGCTGGATTAACCCTCAGTGAAACATAGCAGTTTCAGAGCTGCAGGGTTAACACTGGAGGGACCTGGCACCCAGACCACTTAATTGAGCTGAAGTGGTCTGGTTGCCTATAGTGGTCCTTTAATGAAGCAGTTTTTGTGTATAGATAATGGCCCTGTAGTCTAATTTTCTGCCAATTAGGAGTTAAATCACTATGCTTATGCAGCCCTAGCCACACCTCCCTGGCTGAGATGAACAGTTAATTTGAAGAAAAAATAAAATTAAAAAAAAAGTTTAATTTTCAAGTCAGATCTGACAGCACAATGTGTTTAGTTTAGACATGTTTTATATCCTACTCTGTTTAACTTTAAATCATACAGGAGGCTCCTGCGGGCTCTAGCAGGAAATTAACAGAGCAGGATATACATAATTCTAATTTAAATACACAGTGCAATAAAGTAAGTTTAAATTAGATCTTTCTTTACAGGAAATATGAAGGGAGGCTGTGTGGGTCACAAGCAGGGGAGGTGCATAAACAAAGTGAATTAACTCTGTTCTGCAGATAATTGAGTACTGCAGGGGCTTTAAACAGAAACCAATTTATTAAGCTTAAGTTGTTTTGGTGCTTTGAGTATTTCTTTACGCCTACAGGTCTTTTCCAACCAAAAGCAAGCTAAACAATTTCTTTTTGTATGTGGAATGGCTATTAAGACATTTATAGATATGGAACTGCTGGTAAAGTATATCTGTTAATTAGTATCACAGTATCAGAGTTTTGAATTACAGTGCACAAACGGACTGTGGGTAGTTCAGAAAATAATCCTTTGCTAATTGCTCCACATGCAGGGTGTGTTTTATGTATTTAAACACAGTCTTTACTGGTGAGAATGGGTCCAGTGGAGATGTGAAATACATCCAGCTAGTTACGGTATGTGGTTGTTTATTAGATTTCCCCGTTGTATTTAGTAAGGATAGATTTACACACTTTTTGTTTACCTATCGTTTGTAACATTAAAAGGAGGTTTATTTTCTGAAATCGTATGGAATGCAAAACTCTGACATGGTGCTACTAATTCTATTACATTGAGGGGTGTATAGCTATGCACCTGGCATAGAGATTATTTGACGTTTTATGTACCCTGATGCGGACGTTAAACAATTTCCAGCAACCAGTACTTTACACTGGGGAAGCAGTGGACCGCTTGTTTATTGCGGCGTTAGCCTGTTGTCTAACCATGCCACCAGAGGAGGAGCATGACACAGTATGAAGGGATTTCGTCACTGGAATCAGGAAAGTGAAAGAAATGAGTTTAACGTTTTCGTGGACTGGTGGATAAAGAAGGACATCTTTGTATTTCTAACACTAGTATAAAGTGTTCCTTTAAGCAAAAGTTGGTAGTACTTCAAGTATTTGCAGATTCCATGTTCAGGGTTCAAATTTCCAATTGCCACAAGCCATGAGCAAATGAAAATTCAGCCTTGGCAAGTAGGAATTTACCCCCGTTGAGTGTCCCATGGACTCTCCAGGCATGCAGCGGCAAGTAACTTTTAAGTCCTAGTTTGAAGTGTAGGACTTGAAAACTTTGAGCCCTGCCATACTTAAACACAATTTATTTATTTTTTAAATATCCCTGACCAAATCATGGCACAATCTGGCCCAGTAACTATGCATCAAGACCCACTAAAGCAACAAGGTACAATGTTTGTTTAAAACCTAAATTTAATACAACACGTTTACATTGGCTTTGAATCTATAGCTTGATTCCAAATAGGTTCAACGGAAAATCTTAGCTATGGAACATTTCATTCTAAAGAATAAAGCATTAAATCAAGCATCTGACAGCTTTCACATCTGAAGAAAGAAAAGGCTCTGAACTCACGGCGGAAAACTTAAAAGCAACAAAGTTAATTTGCATAGTTGGCCCTTATCTAAAGGGTCCACCGAATACCTGTGCAATAACAATAGCAGATTAGGCGGCCAATTTGTAAAGTCATTTTCACATCACACTTTTGCTTTATAATATGCTTTTGCTTTTAGTTTCCCCACTTCAAACTAATAGTTCTAAGAACTTTTGTTCTCTGACACACATTCAATATTTGGTGTGTGTGCTTGAAGAGAACAACTGGTAAAGTAATAAGCATGTTTACATAGTGTCTTGTTCCATTAAAAACTTAGCACTTTGCTAAGCAAAACAGACGGTCGGCTCTTTAAATGTTATCTCTTCTCTTCTACCTATGGCTTTGGTAAACCCATTTTACAAACCAAAGAAAATTCACTTGCTGGTAGGGTTTGAAGTTGATCTACTGTAGCCAGAAAAAGTGTAACAGATGGTCTATTTTTTATTTCGTATGTCACTACCAAATGTGCATCAATTTCTTTTTTCCATATTTGGAATCCAAACCAGATTTCCTTAAGTTTAGCAACTGTCACGGGTGCCCCATTTGAAATGACAGCAGGACAATCCTAGTTTGAGAGGAGCCTCTTAAAGCTGTTTACCTAAACAGTTACATTATTTCAATGCAATTTCTGGCTTACCCTTGCCACCGTTAGTCCTCTTTGGTCAAAACAAAAACTGTGTAGGTGATCAAGAGTAAGTGTGAGCTCATAAATACAGACAATCACATGACATTTCAAAGATATACTCTAGGAAGGACACTTTCAGACCTTGAAATTGTGTGTGTGGCCTCAGCAGATACGTGTTGCCGCCAACCAAGGACAAAAGAAACCCACAGAGCAAAGGTAAGCCTGGACTATGCTCTAAAAATATATTGAGACACACACTACAATATAACGCACAAGGAGACTAGCACGTCAGCTTATTTTTAGTAATAATTATACAAACAAACAAGAAGTCAAACCACGTGTTTAGTGATGTCGCGAACCGTCCGCGGCGAACTCCGGTCAGCTGACACATCCCTGCCAATCTCCGGCAGACCCTCCCTCCCAGACCATCCTACTTCCTGCACAGCATCCATGTTGAAGGCAGCTTGAACGGTTCGCGACATCACTACACGTGTTACCTGGGGTCCGCAAGGTGTGGATATCATCCTTCAATACAGATCAGTGAGAGCTTAAAGCAATTTTCGCTGATGCTCTATTCAGCTCAATGGCCGAGAGTGACAAACATGTTCTTTAAAGTTTGACTCATTACACTAGGGCACCCATGGCACCAGAACCACTACAGCACACATCCAATTTAATTTCCTTGAAAGGGATTTGTAAAAGTGGTTCATGTAAATCATATTTTTTTTAAAGGAACAAAAATGATTTTTTTTACTGTGGAAATTGTAGAGGGTGTAAGATAAGAACTGGGACAAATAGGAAATCTTTTTAATTTATTTCTCTTAATACCAAAAATGAATATGAAATTAAGTATTTTACTACATGTAACACTGTGGATGATATATATATATATATATGTTAATATGCCCCTGCGGTTTACAATATATATGGAAAACGTCTTGCCCACTAAAGACACGAATTAGGGAACATATATATAACATCCAAAGGAGATTCCCTAATCCTTGTGTGTCCAAACATTTTATGGAGCACCATAATGGAGATCCTAGTGGTTTGGATTTTTTTGCAATAGATCATATTAAAATCCATTGGAGAGGTGGAGATAAGGATAAGCGGTACCCGGCCAGACTGACAGGACGAAGAGGAGCTCGGCCACCCACTCTGCACAGGGAACGGGAGGTGAGAAGAGAGGCAGTGCGGCAGCCGTCTGAGCGCTCTCTATAGAGCGCTCAGGCAGCTGCAGCATTAGAAGGGTTGGCGATGGGGGCGCAGGGCGCCCCCGGCAGCCATATAGACCCTATACCCGGCGTATAAGACGACCCCCGACTTTGGAGAAGATTTTCCAGGGTTAAAAAGTCATCTTATACGCCAGAAAATACAGTATATTAGTTAATACGTTTAGGAAATATATGTGGATTTTATTTGAGGTAATAATTGGTATACAATTTTAAAATTGATATTTGTAAAGTACTTTTAAGTATTTTTATCATTTTTCTAATTTTACTATTTTTCTAATTTAGCTAAAGCATACTATAATGTTATTAACATGTATTTTATTAAAAAGCATCTGTACTCTATATTTGATGCATTCCCCCAGCATTTCTGTGCCTTTAAATGGAACAAAATGATATTATCCCCTCCCCCCCCCTTTTTTTTCTATTAACCTCTTTTTTTTAGTGTGTTTTTGTAATAAAAGAAAGGTTTTGACATTTCATGCATTAGAAGAGTTAGCTTGTTGTAATTTTGTTTTAAAATTTGACTGTGATAATATGTATGCAGTATGTTGCAATAGGAGTTTCCTTTTGCAACATTAAAGACTATTCAGCACAAGCGAGGAGATAATCCCAACGTCATTTCTGATGAACGCGGAAGTAAATGAAGGTTACTACGGACGCTTGGATGCCCAATTTGGTTGCGTGTGAATGGAAGGGGAGGAGCCTATTACCGAATGGGAGAAAGGCGCGAAAAAGCTCCTATTTAAACAAAGAATGGACCGAATGGACTTACACTTTGATAAAAGCTTTGGCTGAAACGCGTCAGTGTGTGGAGAGTGAGATCGCGGAGCTTCATTTTTTGCTGCTGTTTTTTTTACTCTGGAATAATAAATCTTTTACTGAGATCCTGCATCCTGGATTTTTTTAAGAAAGGACGAGTAAGCAGTTAGCATTTGAGCTATCACTACATTAATCCATTCAACGTTCTTAGTCTGAGCCAGCTTCTATTTTAAGTGGCTCAGAAATATGTGAGTTTACACAATTATTTGCTCATTTATTAATTATCTGTACGTTATTACCCTATGTCTGTTTTTCCTCATTTTATCTCTACAGGATTTTAACTGAATGTAGGGGTAACTATTTTAATATTTTGTTTTGTGTGTGCTCTCACCACTTTTACTGTTTTATTTATGAAATAATTTTTTTTTACCATTTACTATTCCTATCATTTAAGGCCACATGCTCAAACCCTACAATCTATAGCAGTGTATGTAATGATATGCAATTACCAGGCAGCCAGCTCCTCAGATGTTTCTGAACTACATATCCCATGATGCTCAAGGCTGGCACTAGCAATACAACGAGCCAGGGCTAGGATATTTGAGGTCCTCTAATTTTTGTCACATTGCTTGAAAACAGATTGACACCAAACTAGAGAACAGCACCAATCATTACAATGGTTGGAGTGGTTATAATACCTAGAGGGTCCCCTTAGAAACAATTATAAAATTGAAAAAACTAACCACTGAGACCCTAGATCTGGATTCATATAAGATAAGTAATGTTAATTTATCACTTGACATGGAATACTTTATTAGGTAGCAGAACAACTAACAACAAACCTTTTACATTACCGTTCCGAGGTTGCAACTGATCAATAATTGTCACGTACGATTTTAGAAAGGCTGCATAAAAAGGCTTTTGGCCTTCCATCCCACCTGTTCTGGCTGTAAAGGTACATATTAAAGGAATGTTGCCAAGTATGAACGAGTTGTTGATCCATACCATCTCCCAATAACATCCTTTGAAAATGAGCTCTAGGTTTTCCCATTCTAAGAAAAATTTATGAAATATTTATGACTCCCGGTGTTCAGAAGGTAATTTCTTAAGCATTTGAGCAGCTGTGTGGTTTCTCAAAGTGGATAAGCACATAACAGAAATAATACATGTTTAAGACATTAGATATTGTGCCCTTTTCAACCCCAATACCCACAGCTCTTACCTCTTCGATTTCTTTAGTTTTTGCTGCAATTGCTTTTGCACGACTGTTATGCGGACGCACTTCGAAAACTTCTGAAGTTGCAGAAACATTTGCCTCATGTTCTTCTGATGGATCTCCATATAATGCAGATGACTGTCCAGTCTTATAGAATACAAGAATGCATACGTATAAAGAGAGATTTTGTGACCGTATAATCACAAATACTTCCAAAATACTTTCCTGATATTTATGCAGAAGGGAACAAGATAATAAAGTTAATCTAAGAATCCTCATGTAAATAATAAAATGTGAATTAATCCAGTATTGATCAACAGCTGGATAGATATACTTGTCACCGATATTTTTAGTTAACGGGATTGTGAAATATAAGGGTAAACAAACTATCTATATATATATACACACACACACACACACACACACACACACACACCAGGAGTGGCCAACTATTGACTTTCCAGCGCATCGACTACAGAACTACCACTCTAACTGACCTGGTCAGATGAAGGTTGACCAATAGTACCATTTAAAGAGTGAATACACAGACTAAAACCTACTGTTTTTACATATTCATCTGTGGTTTCTGGAGCATTGTTTTCAGACAGGTCCATCTTGTCAGCAGCCCACATGGAAGAAGTTTCCACAAACGCACCCTCAGATCTGCTACTTTTTTCCAATTCCACAGCCTGTGAAAAGTAAACCAATGGTTGTACACAATAAATCCAAGCAAAAGGCAGTCTCAAATACCCATGCTAGCTCCTCCTCGGTTGGAAACTACTTGGATGCAAATTTGTTTGATGAGAAACGACAACCTGCTATTCAAAGCAGCAAAGCCTCTGTCTGTACATCAACCATACCAGTTCTCAAAAGACCAAGAGGGTACATGCAGTACTAACTACCCACCAATATGGCCATTAAATCTTTTTATGGAGTTCCAAGTTTATTGACAAATGGAGTGGCTTTATTACAGATCTTTTTAAGAGAAATCATTACATATAGACATCCTTTTCTTTAACTTAAGAATGGGACAACAATATTTTATTTCAAATTTATTTATAAAATATTTTACCAGGATGGAAATATTGAGATTTCTCTCGTTTTCAAGTATGTCCTGGGTCCACAAAACATTGTATTGTTACAATAGGATACAATATTACGAATATATATATATATATATATACACACACACATATATATACATACATATATATATATATATACACACACATATATACATACATATATATATATACACATATATACACACACATATATACATATATATACACACACATACATACATACATACATATACACACACACACATATACATACACACACACACACACACACACACACACAGTTGCAAGAAAAAGTATGTGAACCCTTTGGAATGATATGGATTTCTGCACAAATTGGTCATAAAATGTGATCTGATCATCATCTAAGTCACAACAATAGACAATCACAGTCTGCTTAACCTAATAAACACACAAATAATGAAATGTGCCATGTTTTTATTGAACACACCATGTAAACATTCCCAGTGCAGGTGGAAAAAGTATGTGAACCCCTAGACTAATGACATCTCCAAGAACTAATTGGAGTGAGATGTCAGCCAACTGGGGTCCAATCAAGGAGATGAGATTGGAGGTGTTGGTTACAGCTGCCCTGCCCTATAAAAAAAATACACACCAGTTCTGGGTTTGCTTTTCACAAGAAGCAATGCCTGATGTGAATGATGCCTCGCATAAAATAGCTCTCAGAAGACCTACAATTAAGAATTAAGGATTATAAAAGGATCTCCAAAAGCCTTGCTGTTCACGGTAAGACAAATTGTCTATAAAAGTTCAGCACTGCTGCTACTCTCCCTAGGAGTGGCCGTCCTGTAAAGATGACTGCGAGAGCACAGCGCAGACTACTCAATGAGGTGAAGAAGAATCCTAGAGTGTCAGCTAAAGACTTACAAAAGTCACTGGCAAATGCTAACATCCCTGTTAGCGAATCTACAATATGTAAAACACTAAACAAGAATGGATTTCATGGGAGGATACCGCAGAGGAAGCCACTGCTGTCCAAACAAAACATTGCTGCACGTTTACAGTTTGCACAAGAGCACCTGGATGTTCCACAGCAGTACTGGCAAAATATTCTGTGGACAGATGAAACCAAAGTTGAGTTGTTTGGAAGAAACACACAACACTATGTGTGGCGAAAAAAAGGCACAGCACACCATCATCAAAACCTCATCCAAACTGTGAAGTATGGTGGTGGGGGCATCATGGTTTGGGGCCGCTTTGCTGCATCAGGGCCTGGACGGATTGCTATCATCGAAGGAAAAATGAATTCCCAAGTTTATCAAGACATTTTGCAGGAGAACTTAAGGCCATCTGTCTACCAGCTGAAGATCAACAGAAGATGGGTGTTGCAACAGGACAATGACCCAAAGCATAGAAGTAAATCAACAACAGAATGGCATAAACAGAAGAAAATACACCTTCTGAAGTGGCCCAGTCAGAGTCCTGACCTCAACCCGATTGAGATGCTGTGGCATGACCTCAAGAAAGCTAATCACACCAGACATCCCAAGAATATTGCTGAACTGAAACAGTTCTGTAAAGAGGAATAGTCAAGAATTACTCCTGACCGTTGTGCACGTCTGATCTGCAACTACAGGAAACGTTTGGTTGAAGTTATTGCTGCCAAAGGAGGTTCAACCAGTTATTAAATCCAAGGGTTCACATACTATTTCCACCTGCACTGTGAATGTTTACAAGGTGTGTTCAATAAAAACATGGCAACATTTCATTCTTTGTGTGTTATTAGTTTAAGCAGACTGTGATTGTCTATTGTTGTGACTAGATGATGATCAGATCACATTTTATGACCAATTTGTGCACAAATCCATATCATTCCAAAGGGTCCACGTACTTTTTCTTGCAACTGTATATATATATATATATATATATATATATATATATATATACTCTACTCACCACCATATATATATATATATATATATATATATATATATATATATATATATATATATATCTATACACACATACACATACATATATACATTATATACTTTCGAGTATAAGCGAGTTTTTCAGCACATTTTGTGCTGAAACTAACTAAACTTATACTAAGTCAGTATATTATGGCAATTTACATTGCCATAATACGAACTAAAGAGAACCTAACAGAAGCTGTTACTTACCTCTCCTGCAGCTCCTGTCAGCTCCCTCCTCCTCCGCGCCGGTCCGGTCAGCACCTCGATCAGCTCACACTGTAAGTCTCGCGAGAGCCGCGGGGTCATAGTGCGGCTCTCGCGAGACTTACAGTGTGAGCTGAGAGAAGAGCTGCACGGACCGGCGCGGAGGAGGAGAGAGCTGACAGGAGCTGCAGGAGAGGTAACAGCTCTGCCAGCCCCCCTCCTCCCCCCACTGAACTGCCAATGCCACTGGACCACCAGGGAAGGAGAGCCCCCCTCCCTGCCATGTATCAAGCAGGGAGGGGGCACAACAAAATAAATAAATTAATAATATATAAATAATAATAAAAATAATATTAAAAATAATATAAATAATAATAAAAAAATAATAATATAACAAAACAAATTAAAATAATATTAATTTTTTTTTTTTATAAAAATGCCCACCCCCCCACCAAGGCTCTGCAACACAAACACACACTGCATCACACACACACACAGCACTCATATACACACACAGCATTCATCATATACACACACTGTAAATAAATATTCAATTAATATAATTTTTTTAGGATCTAATTTTATTTAGAAATTTACCAGTAGCTGCTGCATTTCCCACCCTAGTCTTATACTCGAGTCAATACGTTTTCCCAGTTTTTTGGGGTAAAATTAGGGGCCTCGGCTTATACGGCGTGCGTGCGTGCGTGCATATATATTTTTTTTTTTTTTTAAGTTAACACACATACATGCACAAATATAAATTTAATACGGAACAGGTAATAAATATATTCAACCATGACAGGTGCATTCTGTGCTGGTTATATTGCCATAGATCTCTTAAAAAATTGTACTTAATGTATTTAAAAAGAATATGCACATTAATGTGAATTGCAGGATTGGGATATAAATTAATACACAAATGGAAATGATCAGCTTAAAGGTACAAGACGACAGAAACTCCTGTAGTGGGAGCAAGTTTCCTCGTGTGCGCAAAGAGACTCCATAGAAATCTACTGAACATTATGCTGGAGGAAAGTGATGGCTGATGGGAAATGGCAAGGTACAACAAGTGGGAGAAATCTGACACACACTTAAGACAAGTGGCAACTCTTTATCTAATCTATTTCTTTTGAATCAACAAGTTCGGTGAAACTCTAAAGCAAATATATGTTTTTTGACATAAAGCATTAATAATCACTGCAGCAGTAAAGTGTTCTATATAAAAAATTAAAACAAACAAAAACAAGCAAGCTAACAATATAAAAGACCACCAACAACAAAAAGTGCCTGCGGTACCCCTTCTTTAGAAATTGAGTTTACCTTTGCTGGCAGAGTTGAGGCTGAACTTGACGGGGAGACATCTCTGGGTGACTTTAAAGGATGACCAACAGGTCTTTCTTTACCTAGGATTTAAATCCAAACATGTATATTAATGAGAATGTACCGTAAATACAATTCACCCTCATGGAGCCTTAAGTGGAATTATGTCAAGAACAAGTGTCTAGTTTAGTATTTTAACTCTCCCGAGCACCCAGTCTAGAGGCAGGGCACTGGCAGTGAGCCTCAGTTGTAGTTGTTTAGTCCCAGAAGATCTGACTTCCGTCATGGTTACCTCTCAGCAATTACCTACTTTCTGAATTCAACAGAATGAGTAGTATTGAGCTGGGTAAAAACATCTTAAAAGGACACACCAAACACCATAACAACTGCATTATTGTAATGTTATGGAGCCAAGAAGTTGTCCCTGAAAACTTCAAATCCTCGCCATTTGTAGGATTTCAATCTTCTGATCAAGTGTCCTGGCTCCACCTCCCAACCCACCCATGTCATAAGGGGAAATCTAGCTTCCTTATTGACTTGTCCAATCATTTTGAGAATGCTCAATGTTTAGTCTTCTCCACTTGCAGGAGTGGGCGATGTGCTGAGTTGGACTGACTTGCATGGCCATAGCAGGCTGTGCAGTCTTACACCTAACCAATACTAGAAGGACTCATGCGAAAGCCATATTAGATCATGGGGAAATATGGACTTTGCAGAGCTGCCATGGTAATATATAAACTTAGAGGGACATTATAGGCACCCAATCATTTTTAGCTTAATAAAGCAGTTTTGATGTACAGATCATGCTCCTGCAGTCTCACTGCTCAATTTTCTGCTATTTAGGTGTTAAATCACTTTGTTTATGTACCCTAGTCACACCTCCCTGCATGTGACTTGCACAGCTTTCCTAAACACGTCCTGTAAAGAGAGATCTAATGTTTACACTTCCTTTGTTGCACATGCTGTAGAATTTTGCATTTCTTACCTCTCGCCCTGTTAATAGCTTTCTAGATCATGCAGGAGCCCCCTGTGTGTGATTGAAGTTTAATTCCACAAACTTCCAAAGCAAGTTAAAAATGAAACCATTTTTTCCATGTAGACTGTGTCAGTCACAGCATGAGGGTGTGTGACTCAGGCTACATAAACAGAAACAAAACTTAACTCATAAATGGCAGAGAATTGAGCAGTGAGAATTCTGAGGCATGACCTATACAAAAAACTGCTTCATTAGCTAAAGTTGTTTTGGTGCCTATAATGTCCCTTTAACTAGAGTAGAAGAATAGACACAAACGAGTTTATTTGTATAACAGACTCTTTATATCAGCAATATGAGATAAGGTGCAGTATATAAGTGCCAAATCAAACACCGATCTTATCATCGGAGTTCATATCTATTAGGCCTTCTGCTGTGTCCTAGTCCATGCAAGTCTGAGTGAGCATTTGCCTATTTGAGACGACTATACCTTTACCTAATCCATCTGCCTCAAAATGACAGCCATCCAGAAAACCTTTTGATAGGATACAATTGAAGACTTGTGCTACTCTAGGTAATTAAGTGAGATTAAAATGCTATACTCTCAGTTTGAAATTTTATTGTAATGAGAAAGATATGTAGTGGGAAAGTAGGAATATGCATAGATACATGGATGAGGGCCATTATTATTCAAATATTTAGGACATTCCAAGTTTAATTATTTTGCATTTGTTACTTAAATATATTGTAGGTGATGTCCTTGTTTGTATAAGCCCTACACACAATCTAAAAGGAGAATATGAAGTAATTATGGGGGAGGGGGGGGGGTATTTAAAAGTAATTTTTGTTGTAGAAGGTGCAGTAAAACTATGGTAATCCATTAAAACCAGTTACACAGTATGGGGGTGGTGCCTGACATCTTACTGTATACAAGTCTAATTACATCATATATTGAACGCCTTTGATAAGAAGGGATCAGTTTCTTCTGGCACTTGAAACTGACAAAGTGTTTGGCTGAAGTGAGAACCCTTATCTTTGTGCATTACATGGCATTATTATCTGGTTTCTGTTTGACAAAAAGATTCTAACACATTGCTGCTGGGGAAAGACGTGCAAACATTTCCTTCATGGTCGAAGGAGAGGCAGATAGAAAAAATATCAGTAAGAGTTTACATGCAATTATACTAAAAATATTTATATGCTGAGATTTTAATGAGGCCCCAAAATTATTTTTTATTATTATTTTTTTTTTAAATCAGTTTTAGTAGTTAATAAAAAAAAATAAAATAAAATAAAAAAATCACAGATGAGAAAAGATCTAAAAATAAACCCAGGCAGTGTTCACACGTTGGCTATTTTAGACAAAATGATGCAATTCCTACTTCAGTTTCACTACCATTTAAATCTTTAATGTTTAAACCACAAAGTTTCTTTAAAGGTACAGTAACCAATAAGGTTTGGACAACATTGTTCTATGAACATTCTACTCTGCACAAGTGAGCAAGATGATGTCACAAATTTAAATGTACACGCTCAGCCAAAGCTTCAGAAATATGACATGCACCACAGGTGTAAATCGTGACTTGACAAATTCCAGCACCATCTGTGCATAAAGCAAGATTGAACATGCCATAACACATGTTTTAACCCCAACAGCTGATTTCCCTTTTTATTGAACTTTGGAAAGCATGTAACAAAAGAAAACTGACTACCTAGTAATCTAGTAGAAGAAGTAGAAAACAAAACAAAAAAACCCCAAAGTTTACATTAACAAATATCATACGCAGTGCCTTTCAAAACGTAGGTGCTCTGGGCAAGTTAGTTTAGCCTTATGGAGACAAACTTATAGGAAGTAACACCTCCGACTGCCTGACGGACAGCAAGGGATGTGTAACTGCATTCATTCAGATAAATGCCAGTTTCTATCGAAATAAGACACACTACACACGCACAAAGCACAACAAATTGGCATTAGTGTGTTTTTGATTTTCCTTTAAACCCACGAGACAAATGGTGTATTTTTATTTTTTTAATAAATAAAAAGTGTCCTACTCTCAAAAGTGATTTAAAGTGTTCTAAGTAGAGCAATCGCTATAGAAAACACTGGATCCAGCAGGCACATTTAAAAATGTTGCACCACTTTTCAGAACGCAATTTTTTAAAAAGTTTTTTTACAAAAAAACATATTCCAAAGTGTGTTCCTTCGTGGTTTCATGATGTCAGAGATGCTATAATGCTACAATGAGTATAGATGTACTGATGTACATGAGAGCATTTTCACATTAAAAACAATAGGAGCCATTTCAGCTTTCCGAGGACAGCCACAGCTTCCAGCTCGAAAGGAAACCAATAACCTTTATACTGTGGCTTAAATTAATTACAAATGAGCAGACACTATACTACATGCACAGGGATTCTCTAAACAGAATCCAAATGGGACCGAAGACAGACAGTTACAAGGCAGTTGGTATTGTTCTATCATATTTCAGTGCAAGTAGATTGGATACAACCAACATAATACGTGCCATTTACCGTCACACAGTAAGACGTCAAACGGCTTTCAAATGGTCTGACACTTACCTGGGTACTTCCGGTCCAGGCTCCTCCCATCAGATCACAAGTCTGATAGTTCACATTTTTGTATTATTTCTGCCAACTCCACCTGTGTTTGCACAGAATGCATTGGCTGACAGCTCAGCTAATGAATTTTGTCCAAGTATGGATTACATGCATCTGTCTATTGCTGAAGGTGAATTTTCACTTTAGACATATCACAAATATAAGCTAGGCAGAATGCAAAAACAGTTTGAATGCATACTGTGAAAATGGCAGCAGGACACTCCTGACACCATAATCACTACAATGACAGGTTATTGTGCTTAGACTGCCCCTTGTCCAATGCACTTTCACCTTCCTAACATGTACCTTGTGCTACATTTTGAAACTGGCACTGGAATAAGGAAATGGAAAAGTCCTTACTATTAACACTTCTACAGAAGCAATGGCAAAATATATTAAAATAACTTAAAAATACCAAACCATTCCATAAAAAGTAATTCAACCAACTCCACTAATTTATAAAAATAAATCATTTTCTAGGTTATAAATTAAGTTCAGAATTTTTTTTTTTCTCCACAATAAAACAATAAGGGTGCTTGGGTATACATAAAAACACACACTAGGAACACATACAAACAACTGATATATTAGTAGATTCTGTCAAACTCTATAAGCAGATACAGCAATGCAAAATAACCAGACTAATTTGCAGCTTTTATTGTACAGTGTGAAATTCATCTCTAAATTCACAGTTACAAACTAGATGTTAAAGAAACTAACTAGACAAGACAATTCCAGGTCACTTTGGAATGACACCACCCTAAATAAAGAACAATAAACAGTTAAAGATACCCATATCTTCCCGACTTCCTTAGTCAACATTAGCTTATCAAACACAAACTGAGGCCATCCCAACTTCCTCAAAAAAGAGATAAAACATCATGTAAAAAAAGTACAATTACTTCAAGGTGTTTAGGAACTATATTTGTCACTAAATAATTAGTATTCTATGTATAAAACGTTTCCTTTAGGACTGCAATGGCTGAAAGTCCAGGAAAGTAAAATAAAATAATTGTGCGAGGAGTTAAGAAATAAAATGATTAAAATGTGCAAGCTGGCTTGAGCTCACTACCTGCGACTGTCCAAATCTGTGCAATCCTCCATGTCCTACATGCCACCAACAGGTTACATTTGCTTTTAATCAAGTCTCCAAAAGTGCTAGTGCATGTGGTTTCAAAAGCAGGCCAAGTGCACAAAATATAGTACAGACTGAATCTTAATAGTTTGCTCCAATAGTATTAGAAGCATTTCCATTATAAAAAATCACACTAATGGAACACAGCTTTATTTTAATGTATTTTCATAAATAAAGTGTACCAAGTAAACATTTACCCATTAACTAGGAGTAACATGACTTCCTTGATACAATTAAATTTTTCAAAAACTGTACCTAAAATACTACTGACTTACAATTATTTTCTTTCATTGAACATTTATAAATATGTTTACAGTTCTACTCTAACAGTTTATAAGACAATAAAAAAAATGGAGACACCCTACATATGAAATGGAACTGCTGCTTTGTCAAATACTGGTACCCCATTTAAGAGGGAAATAAAAGTGAGAACACATGATATAGTGACTGTTCTAGAATTATTTCAAAACTTACTTCTGCTGTGTTGATGGGAGGAAAAAGATTTTCCTCTGTCTGGCGAATAGCTTCTGCTACTGACGCTGGAACCCGATCTACTATGGGGAGAGTCTCTTTGAGTAACTGGAGAGTCTCGAAAGAAAGGAGACTCTCTTCTGTGTGGTGAACGTTCTCTCACGTAGACGTTAGGAGGATACATTGGCTTTCTTCTAAAACCTTCTCGGCTCTCCCTATAAGAAACAAAATAATGCTCATTTTAGAGGGCAACAGGATAATAAGACAGCTGTTGCAGCAACAATAACATTTTGCAAAGATCAAAAAAAAAACACCCATGAAGTCAGTGTTGGATACTGTAAATTTAATTTAATCACTGGATGACGATTTCATATTTTCAGATTAATTTAACAGTTCTATCAGAACGGATTTTGATATATACCATTAGAAATGCATAGTTTTTGGGACACCGTAATCACTAGAACAACTAAAACTTAATGAAGCTGTTCTGATGTTGACTGTCTGTCCCTGCAAGCTTTTAAACGTACACACGTCTTTTCAGAGAAAAGGCAGTGTGGACATTACGGCCTAGGAACACCTATAGAGGCAGCCACTCAGACGGTCACTAAAAGTGCTTCCTGGGTCACTGCTGCACAATGAGCAACACTGTTGTTCAGCATCACCACGCCCTGCATTGGGAGGCTAAACATTCCTCATAGAAATGCATTGATTCAATACGCCTATATGAGGAGATGCGGATTAGCGCAGAGCGGCTATGGGAAATCATTCGACTGGCTGAGATCATCAAGATTGACGATAAGCCAAGGAGGCAGAGACCAGACCTGCGTGGCCCTCTGAAAAGGTAATTTTTATACCTTTTCAGGCTGGGACGAGGTGGGCCGGTGGCTTAAATGTAGGTTTCCAAACTATAGTGTCAGTTTCTTTCACAATGGTGAAATTATAACAAGGTGAACTATCGCCAGTATAATAGGCTTATCATTCATATTTGGAGAACAATTAAAAACATTTATTTATTTAACTAAAATAAGAACATACAAAATCATGTATTTGGTTAAACATCAATGGTTGTTAACTGAAATGGTTAAACAAAAAAAAAAAATGTAAACTGCAATGGTTTGCCGTCTTGCTTGGGTCCCTGCTAAGAGTCAAGTCTTATCTGATGCTGGTTACTCATTAGCAGAGACCTCGTTTCCTTGCTGGATCCTACCAGAGGTGGAGCAATATGAAATATCAGCACGTGCAGATACTTTTCATATTGAAAGGTAAGGGGTTCATAGAATTGCATTGGTCTTTTTTTGTTTATTTCAAACCGTTCTTGCTGAGAAAAAGTGCATGTTATCTCTGCAGACACAAGTACAATTAACTTGTATTAATGTAATTAATTTACAAAAAATGTGCAGTTTGCATTAAAGGGAATTACAGCTTAATATAGTTGTTCTGGTGTCTATAGTCTATCCCTTCAGGCTTTTTGTTGTAAAAGCTGAATTTTCTCTGAAAAGGCAGTGTTTACATTACGGCCTAGGGACACTTCCAGTGACAACTCCTCATGTGGCTATTAGAGGTGCTTCATAGGGCAGTGCTGCACAGTGTGACTGCCATTCATTGTCTCCACCCTCAGCATAGTGACGCTGAACATTCATCATAGAGATACATTAATTAATGCATTTCTATGAGGAGATACTGACCAACCAAACTGTCATTTGGCCCCGCTTCCTTGACCGGGTACCTCCGTCAATCGTGGTTTCCTAGTACTTATGAGCACCATATGCACCTTAAATCCCACAAACCGCCACAGCTTGGTTGGGGTCTCGCTGTCCTCCACTCACCCTGGTCCCAAGACCAGGATCCAGCTTCCAGTGGGTAGACCTCTCCTAGTCCAGAGAGCGAAGCAGGCTGCTCTTACAAGAGCAATTGTTGTAAGCCAAGGAAGTATAGTGATTATAGCAATCCCCAGAGTTCAATAATCTTTGAACTTCCTCAGGGGCATATGCTGAAGATCCTTCTGCCTGCATACAGAAGGATCTTCATCATATGCCCCTGAGGAAGTTCAAAGATTATTGAACGAGATGCGTAGGGCTGCTGTATAGGGTACAGAATTTGTTTTTATTTTATTTCTTTTATATACTGTTTTTCCGGTTCTCTCAACCCTGGTATCTTGTGACTGGAACATTTTATATGATATGCCTGCTTGCCACTTCAATCTTGTAAGTAAGTGTCTATTTTATTAAGATACTCTGCACTATTACGTTTCTTTTTTTCCTTCTATATATGCCATGATGCTCTACAAGTCCTGAGGTTTCCACCATCTTTACGATATGCCTACAATCAATTTTGGTTTGTGAGTGTGAATAACTATTTTAATTTCCACTCCATTTCTATCGCAACATTATTGCATATATGTTTTTCTCTGTTTTTATTGTATTGTAGATTATTCTTTTCCATATTGTTTTGAGGACCAAGAAGAGTCCTAATCTACAGTACATTTAGTCCATGGGTAATTGTTCAGATTTCTCTATCTATTGCCCACTAAGTGTGTGTTCTATCCACCATTATATGCATCTATCTACTTTATATTTGACCACGGTGAGACTAGAATTAGGGAGATTTTAACCAACCTATCCAAATGCATTCAATGGAAGCTCATTTTAGCAAGGTCCTCACCACCATCCGTTAGTTGTCTTGTCCAACTTGTCTTGGTGCAACTGCTCGTTGGTTAGTACACCTATTCTACACCACAAGAGAATATGTTGAAGCTTTATACTTAATAATAATAGTAGACCTTTAAAGCATCACTGTGTCCACTGTGTAATAGGGAAGGCAGTGGATTCGGGTCCTATTTTCAGTCCAGGCCAGAGCTGTCATACGTGGCTTTGGTCACTGAATTACAATGTAAAGCTAAAGCCAAGGCTATGTTTCCCTCCAGGATATAAGGCCAGGATGCATAATGATAAAGAAAATGTTGGTTCTGGTTCACAAGCTTTGAAAACTAACTCTCATAACCTCAGTTACAACTAAACAGGGCTCTCTCCAAATGGGACTCTTAACACGTGATCGGTCTTAGAGTACTTTGAGTTCACTGAAGTGGTTGGAGCACAGGCAATCAATTAATATTTGAAAGGTTAAAGGGTTAAATTGTAAACATGTGAACTTTATGACATAGCATTCCCAAAAGAAGACAACACTTGAGCAATTTAATATAGAGCATTTGAGTCTTTTCACTTGGCCATTTAGTCACCATATATACAGACGCCATATTTTCTGAGGAAAATCGAAACAGTGGAATGGCCTAATTTTGATTAAGCTTGTTTTCCCAGAGATGTTATTTGGTAAGGCGAGACTATATCACCATATTGACCAGCATCAAATTTAGCCGTCAGACCGCTAAATCTGTATTATTTATATAGCGTCAACATATTCTGAAGTTTTTTACATTTAGGAATAAGTGATATTTTGAGGTAAACAAGGCCCTAGTCACACAAGCTTCCAATCTATAAGGACTGGAGGTAGCCAGATATATATTGTTAAAGGGACACTGGTCACCAAAACAACTACAGCTCAATGTAGTGGTTCTGGTGAGTATAATCAGTCCCTGTAGGATTTCTGTTTTAAACTGTCTTTTCAGAGAAAAGGCAGTGTTTACATTACAGCCTAGTAACACATCTAGTGGCAGTCACTCAGATGGCCACTAGAGATGTATGCTGGTTCGGTGGTGAACTTTCCCCATAGAGATACATCGATTGCCCAGCGCTGTGTTGAGCTCTGCCCCCACCCCGCCACTTTCGCTGTGATCAGAGTTGACAATCTCAGCCAATACAATATTTTCCAATAAGAAAGCAATGGATTGGCTAAGATTGTCAGTTCTGATGATGTTAGCCAAGGAGGCAGATCAGGGTGCAAGGGTGGGCCAGCATCATCATTATTATTATATTTATATAGCGCCAGCATAATTCTGTAGCGCTATACAATGGATAGTGTTTTTAACAACATAGGGTCAGGAATACACATTATGACCATATAGTGTTTTGCGCAAGAACACGTGCTGGTAAGGTAATAATCACTGGCTTTATTGGCTGGTTAGAACAGTTGTAATGTCACTCACTGCCTTAGAACTGGGAAACCTAGGAATCCCGGTCAGAACATGATTCTACAGCGAGCAGACAGCCAATTAGAGCCCAGTCACTATTGCTGGACTGCCAAGTGACGCAGCCAGCAATACTGCTGTTCATTTACAGCTGATCATAGCACTGCCGATCATAGCACTGCTAATCACAGCAAAGGACCTTTGTGAATGGTTGCAAACTAGCTATGTTTTCACATGCAATGGGAATAAAATGCCTTTTTTTCCAGTTCAAACAATAACACACTTATAAATAATCACAAACTAAGCCATGGATAAAGTCTATTTTGCCTTGCAATAACTAATCAAATAAACAATGGATTCAAATAAACACACTTGTTCCTAGTTTCATTTAAGCTATTAAGTGACTATAAACTACCGGTAACTTCATTTGTGTAAAAATGCTAACTTTTCCAGGCTGTTCCCAACCAAACATGTATTGGGTAATGGGAAAGAAACCTAAATGAATTTAAAAATTAGGGTTAAATAAAAGCATGAATAGCACACGTTTTGCCCTGATAAATCTCTTCTATAGGACTGTCATTTTACTGAAATTCCAAAAACACAAAAGCCAGTTATGGTGCAAGTTTCTGACACTTGGTTCCTCAGGAGCATATAATCCTTTCAATCTCCTGTGATAACGTTAAAGCGTAAACTCTCTCACTCCACTTTAACAATATCAATTCAGTACAACTCTATACATCAGTTATTAGATGGAAGCGTCAGATGAAACTCTTTTAACATGAGTTAAGTTCTAACAAGGACAAAATTCATTATACCTTGTGGAGGGGAAACATCACTTTCATTAGACTGGTTCCTCATTATGTTCTTCCTCCCGTTTAACTAAATACACACATTATTGCTCAGGGGCCACACTATGTGAATTACAGTTCACACCTGATTACCAACTACTTTTTATTGGACTCCACAAGATAAAAAAATAAAATAATTTTAAATGCTTGTCTAAGTTCTACAAACATATGCCAAGCCCTGTGCTAGTCTATCTCGACTCTCATACAATCACTGTGACAGCTGAAATAATCATGGTGAGCTACAGATAACCCAATGGCACTGGTATTAATGCATTCTGAAAGGGTGCTGAAAAGTCATTTAGCTTTGTTGATGTTGCCATGATTAAAGCTGACCATTTGGTAACCACATTATATAATAAAAACTACGAATTCATTTAAACCAGGAATCCAATGTGTTTATCTTTCAACTAAAGCTCTAAAAGATCTGCCTGGTATTTGCAGTTTATTACAGAATATCGTTAAAATAAGATTAGGCTAAACTGTACCATCTCACACTGCCAACTCCAACAGAACTGCTGGGCATACTCTACCTGACAAGCAATCGAATCCGGCTATTAAAAATGGGCTGAAATGACAGGAATTAGCCAGTATAAGAAGAGGTGGTAAGAATGTCAGTATTCTATTCACAAATCAAAAGGTACCATTGATAAAGGCAGCCAGTTGGTGCCAAAACGTTGGGGGGGTTTGGTGACTTGTGTTTCTGTCTTGTGGCTTGTAAGATTTTTTGATATTGTACCATTGTAGTATTGTATAGCCTCTACTTTTGTTATTTTGTTTATTTCTGTTTACCACTATAGTACTTTTTGTACATAATAAAGTTGGATTATAATTACTGTTTGAAGATGTTATAGTGTGCATCCCATATTATTTGATATTTGAGTATTCTATTCACACCCATTGAAGACATGAAATTAAAATCCCTTTAATGGATATCTACGGTCTTCTAGCAAAATCTTGGAAAAAGACTGAAATGTCAACTTTTTCTTGGACTGATTAACATCAATGAGCGCATTTAACTACTGCCGATTTACATGTACCTCTGTGGATGCTCTCATTTATAGTGAGCTAACAGACTCCTGTTTAGGAAATTTCAGCTTTTCATCATTGGTAGTGGAGAAAAGGAGTGGTGCCCGGGACACCCCAGGTAAAGAGTCAAACCATTCTAAAATGGTCTGAGTACTTACAGTGGGGAAGAGGCGGGTGAGGGGACAAACGCCGGTGCACTTCTGGTACCATAACCACTACAGCAAGCTTGGAGTGTTCTTTTAATGGCATTATATTTCCATAAAACACAGTTTAGGGTTATGCATCCATGAACTACATACAGTGTATAACCGACACAAACAAGCCCAATAGAGTTACAAAGTTCTGTCAGCAAGTTTACCTTACTGTGATAATATCATGCGTTCTTGGGTATATATCTACCAGTGTGATCATTCATACAGTCAATGGTATGCTTAAATAAGTGACTGAACTGTGTGACTTTTCTCCCTATTGACTTCACACATACCATCTGCTGCAGTGCAGACCTCAACTTATCTCGGCAGGAATAAATCACGGAGGTTTGCTTAAAAGACCTTTACTAACTTAATGTCGATTATCTGTACTAAATAACGCAATATCACACTTTTAGGACATAAATAAAATGCACCTGGATGGGCGACCTTTACGTGAACCTATCACATGCTGCAAACAAAGGGCAGGCTTCATATGTCAATTGGCCCTCACAAACTTTTATTACCAGGAGAATGTTTATAGTATTTAAACTGGGGATGCTGTAGTCAGCCTTATTAGTTGACATAATAGGGCTATGTAGTTTAATCTATTGTATGGCTTTTATGTGAGCAATCCCTGTGTTATGTGAACAGCTTTAAAGCAAACACATTTCAAAGTCTGAGCAATGGCTAGCGCTCCATATAGGGGTGGAAGAAAAATCCTATGTGATTTATTGGAGCATACAGTTAATTATATGCCAGCTGTTTTCACAGAAAAGAAAAAAAAAAAAACAGCCCTTCAGTTGGTAATACTGATCATTAACCTGTAATTTTGAAAATTCTAAATTGTGAGCAAGATTAGCCAGTTTAATCAAAAGGCACCATCTAGTGGATGTTTTATGTATGTAATAAAAAGGATTCCAATACACATTCACTCTGCATCATTTCTATCAGATCTACGCTAGTGATGGTTATGAATTCTGCATTCTGTGGAACAGAAATAAAAAATTCTGCCCGGCACGAAGCAAAATTCAAATGTTTCTGGAATTAAATAAGTTATATTGGGTAGCAGGCTATGATTAAATTAATTACATATAAATTATGATATTCTCCATAAAAAGCAGAGTGTAATGAAGTAGAAAAAAATAAAATCAAAGACTGTATGTATAGTGGTTACACAAAGGGAATTGGGAGTGATTGAAGTATTTCCCATCATTATGTATTTCTAAAGTGATAACATTCACTCCACAGCTCGAAACATACATTTGTAGTATTTGGGAGAGATGGGTGGGATTGCTCTTGGAGGATAAACTACTTATCCCATAAATATCTGTTGGGCAGAGGGTTACTGGATAATGAGACGCTTCTGATCCCGCACAGTGTATCTGAACTGAGGCTGGAGGCTAAAGGTGAGTGGATAAATTAAAATAAACTCAATTTGTTCAAAATCTGTCTTGCGATAACTTACAAAAAAACAGCCACACAATATTTCTAGACGTCCACAAAGATGCTTTGTAATACAAACCCTTAGTTAAATGTGTCGTCATCAGTTTATGGCGTCCATTAAACAAGGTGCCCTATAAAATCCTCCTTTCATTATCACTCAAATGACTACGCACATTCTTAACAACCCCCAGGTTACTTGTATTATTCTCAAGTGCACTTCAGCCGACAGAATTAAACTCTCAGCACAGGCTGTGCCCCAAGCGTTAAAACAATTAGACATGATCCACACAGCCAATATAGCACCCATTGACATTTTTATGATTTCTTTTAAAAACAAATATTAATTTCCATCCTTTTTTACATAAATATCATGTTTATGGAAATATTTCCAATAATGTGGAAAACGAGAAAACCAAATATCTTTCTTATGCCATGTGAATTTTAAAGAATGCACAGTCTCATTGTTCCAAATGAAAGTATCATATTTGTGAGTGAAGGAGAACTTGTATGACACTGGTGAACTACACATACATACAAGATAGAAATAGGACAAACTGGGACCCATTTTCAAAAGCAGTACAGGAAAAGTGATGCCCCAATTGTTTAGCATATATCTGCAGTAGGGGAGAATTGCCACTAGAACTTCCATCATTAACATACATTTCCCCCCTTCAGTGTGGCGGAGGCGCAGTACGTAATATACACCTACATGTCTCCATCTTTTGATTTTAGACTTGTATGTTGCATTTGTTGATTAAGAGCACAATCAAGCCGATGTCTACATCTCCTTAGGCTGGTGGAGGTGGGGGTTACTGGTCTGTGCAGACCTGCCAAGTACGTGTTGCTAAAACTAGGATTACACATTTAAATGAATGTTTGCCTGTTGCAGAGTTTCTATCTCATAATCAACTACAGCCCAGCAACCCAGCTCATCTAATCAGTAGCTACACTGCTAATTCCAAATCACATGAAGACCTTAGATTATGTCTCAGATAAGAGTGACTGCTGGATTACATTGGTTTGTTGCTGCAATGTGGATTGTGTTTTCATTTACAATGAAAAAATACTAGATTTTGCGACCCTACTGAAACTGCATATTATTTTAATAGAGAAGTGGAAATCACAACATTTTGCTATATATTTTTTCACCTTTCATAATATCTGTAATCAAAAAAAAAAAAAAAAAAACACACCATGTATAAATTGTGTAGAATTTGACACAACTATCAATTAACTGAGCAAGTCTGTTTAACAGGAATAAAACATTGGTCTACCTCCAGAATTTCCTTGAAATTTTTTGTTGCATACTGCAAGGACATATAGTCTACAAAACATAATCATACTTTCAAGAGGCTCTTATTGTAGAATGGTAGAAATTAGGAAAGCGATGTAAAACTTTTTATGCGGTCACTTTAAGTGGTGTAGCTTGATGTGTGACAAGAGGGCACATCTTATTCGAGGGAGTTTTAGGAGGCTTCATGACCCAATGATAACTATTTACGCAACTGAAAAAGTAACTTCTAATAAAAACCAAACTATTTGATTCACACATAGTAATGCACATAATTTGGAGGAGGGGCAACATGCAAAGAGACAAAATTCCTGGTATACACTATCAAAATGGGACTTACCTTTTGAAAGGGACTTATTGAGGGATATTTAAAGAGCATGTCTTTAGTGGATGTTACCACTCTGTGTTTACCTGCAGACGTGTTTTAAATATTAAGTTTCTAATTTGTTTCCAAGTAATTATTGTGATATTACACCAAGCTGTTCCTTCCCCTTTTGACAGCATTTTTGACTTTTAAAACCTGCATTTTTTTTTTTTTTTTTTATAATCTGAAAGTGGAATCAAAACTGATACATTTATATTTGCTGTAGGTACAGCAAAATAATTATAGCACTGACATAAACAAGAGAGGACTAGACTGCTCAACGTGAAAATAATAAACAATCCACAGGAAATTTACATCCTTTATGTAGTGCCTCCAGTATAAACAGCATAGTGCACTGTGTACAGAGAACTTTTTAGAGTTGATGAGATTGAACAACACGAGATCTTAAATTGCTGTTTATCCCAGTCAGGCATAAACAGAATAACTAGCGCACTTTTATCTTTTAATTAATCTATGTTTGTGCAATACCACAACAAACCTACACAGTTTATTTGCCAAATAGAAAGAAAGAAACAATAAATGTATCAGAACAATTACTTTTAATTACGTTGGTTGGGGAAACATCTTTCATGGTGCAAAAAAAAAAAAAAAAACACAACCAAAGCTAAACATTGCAAGCTTTTTATGTGCCATGGGAATTCTTCACATTTAAACTAAACCAAGAGATTAAAAAAACACATAAAAAAAACAAAACACTCGAGTCTGCAGACATCCGAATAAACAGTCAAGCTGCCCAACTTGAGAAGCAGGAATCGTGTTCCGAGCAACAAAAAAGATGCGTAATGAAAGTTCTGTCTGTTGTCAATGAGCGTTTAGAAATACCAGTAATAAATAAACAAAGCGCCAACATATTCCACAGCGCTGTACAATTAGGGGAGAGCGTACAATATACACAGACAAATACAAAAGGTAGAGAGGGCCCTGCCCGTAAGCTAAGATGTAGCCATTGAAGCTCTTTTATACAAAGTGTTTAGCTAGACAGGCCATGAGCTTACAATCTAAAGGATATAATAATAAAGTATTTAACCAGGAAATGTACATTCAGATTACTCTGGTTTTCAAGTACGCCCTGGGAATGTTACCTTAATGGGGATTTGAGGCAAGATTGTGTATGTACGGTGTAGTCATTCACAACCTACAAATGTTCCCCAACATACTCAATCTTCCTCAGTGTTCTTGCGTTTCTTCCATTCGCTATCCCTGAACGTCCTGTGATATAGACAGCATGTCGGCGAATTGACCGAATTTCATCCAAACCCAATGTCAACAGATTGTCCACTCGTGTTTGAATGAAATTGAGCCATATTTTGTTCGGAATGTCCTTCAGAGAAGACCCTCCCAATCCAATAAATGGGGACCAGACACAGGAGACCCCTGTGGTTGGGCAGCAATTATAATTAATGCAGGAGGAGGGGAGAGATAGTGACCCCTCCAGCCCAGCCATGGGGTCCTAAGCAATAGAGGGGGGAAAACCTATTGTCCCCCCCCCCCATTGCTGGTAGTTAGGAAGCCCAAAAAAAAAAAAAAAGAAAGAAAGAAAAAAAAAAAAAAGGGGGGTGGGAACCAACCTATAGTCCCCACACATAAATGTGAGGAGGAGAC